GGCTTACCTGGGGTTTGAAGTGAAGGGCGGTCGGCTGGCCATACAAGAGGCAAAGGTTAAGGTGCTGGAGAACCTGGCAGCGCCAAAGGATAAGACAGGGCTGCGGGCGTTACTCGGCTTCCTGAATTATTACAGGAAGTTTGTGTCAAACTTCAGTCGCCGTGCCTACGTGCTGAACCAGCTGCTGAGGGAAGGGAAGAGCTGGCAATGGGGAGAGGTGGAGGAGGCAGCAAGGCAGGACTTGCTCGAAGCAGTTAGGACAGGGACCTTACTGCAGATACCGAGGGCAGAGCGCCTTTCATCCTGTACACGGACTGGAGCAGTACGGGAATGGGAGCGGTGCTCTGCCAAGAAATCGAGGGAGAGGAAAGAGTGATAGCCTTTGCCAGCCGAAGCTGCAGCCCATCCGAGGCTAACTACTGCTCATACGAGGGAGAGGGCCTGACGGCAGTGTGGGGAATCACGCATTTCAAGGTATACCTGCAGGGCCGGCACTTCACATTAGTGACTGATCATCAGCCACTGCTATGGTTGATGACTAATCAAGAGCTGACGGGAAGAAACGCTCGATGGGCTATCAAGTTGTTGGGATTTGACTTTGAGATCCGGCACCGACCGGGTAAAACACTGCAGCATGCAGATGGGCTGTCAAGGAACCCACCACCGATGCAGCCGGTAGCGCAGCTGGCGGCCTTAGCCCACACCGTGGCCGTAAGCTGGGGGCAGGAGAAGGGAGAGAAGCGGTTAGCAGATATATGGGAGGACGAGGAGACCATGAGCTGGATCAAAGGGGAGCCACTGGAGGAGGAAGGCGTAAGTGAGAGAGCAAGAGCCAGAGGGCAGCATTACAGATGGTTTCAGGAGCAGCTGCAGCTGAGGACCAGCGAAGGATGGAGGGTAGTGCCGCAGCCGCAAGAGAGGAACAGGATCATGGGGAAGGTGCATGCGAAGCTGGGACATTACGGCATCACCAGGACACGGCAGCTGCTGAGCACCATGTACTGGTGGGCAAGCATGGGGAAGGATGTGGCAGGACTGGTAGCCAGCTGCGAGGCTTGTCAAAGGAATAAAGCAAGGCTGGAAAAGGAGAGGGAGGAGCTGCACTCACTACCGATTCGGGGGTTAGGTTACAGGTGGTCGCTGGACCTGGCAGGAGAGTTACCATTATCAAAAGGAGGGAAGCAGTACATCCTGATCATGGTTGAGCACACGAGCAAATGGGTGGAGGCGCGAGCATTACCAAGCAAGAGTAGCGCACTGATAGCGGACGCATTCGAGGAGTTAGTACTGACCAGGTACGGTGCATGTGGGGAGGTGCTTACCGATCAAGGGACAGAATTTCAAGGGAGCTTTGATGAGCTGCTAGAGGAGATGGGCATTACGCATCGTGTCACCTCAAGGTATCACCCTCAATCGGACGGGCTGACAGAGAGGCTCATACAAACCGTGAAGAAAGGACTTCGGGCCTATGGAGAGACACACAAGAGGAGTTGGGACAGGGATCTCTGGTGGGTGCTTGCGGGATACCGGTTTGCGAAGCAGGCAGCGCTGAAGCATCTGTCCCCGTATCATCTACTGTACGGACGGGACCCGGTGCTACCTGTGGATGCACCGAAGCTGCTCTCGGCGACGATTGAAGCGGACGAGCCGAGCCTGTGGGCGGGATTAGCGGAGAAGAGGGCGAGGTATCTGAAAGAGCTGACTCCAGCTGCCTTGGATAATCTACACGTGGCGCAGCTGAGGGATGCAAGGCGGTACCAGCAGCGCAAAGCAGGAGGGATGGGAGGAAAGAGTCACCAAGTGGAAGCGGGGCAGGAGGTGTACCTGCGCAGGGCTAAGCGAGATACGCTGGACTTAGCTGTGGGACCGGAGCGATGGAGGGTGAAAGAGGTAAGGGAGTCGGGGGTGCTAGTGCTGGAGGATGATCGAGGGGAGTACCTGAAGGAGCATATCACCAACGTGGCCAGGGCGGGAAGGGAGAAGCCTCAGGCATTGGATCCCGTGTCTGGAGCAGCTCGGGTGCGTGCTCAGTCACGGGAGGGGGCAGGGAAGCCTGAGATACGAGGAGGGGATCAGAACAGAGTGATTACATACGCCAGGAGGAAGAAGGGATGAGCCGGTCGCCTGGATGAGAGGTGGAGGGAGAGGGAGTGAGGAAGTCAGGCAGGGATGCAAGGGAGAGTGAGAAGGAAGGGACAGCAGAGGGGATTCACGACAGCTGTCGCGTGATTAACACTTAGCTGGCAACTAAGTGTGAATTACACAGCAGCCAAGGTGAGGTGTACTATAGTTTACTGCTTTTTGCATTTTACTTTGTTTGCTCTTTTGGAATGTTACTGTACTATACAGAGTCGAGCTGCTGAGGATTTCGAGGTGGTTAGGGGGGAGGTTGGTGGCGAATTCGATTCCAGCCAGCCTGGGAATTCAATTCGCCATTCACCAGGCTGGAAGGCGGTGCATGCCTAGTGGGCCGAGTGGGACCCAGCTAGCACCTTGAAGCCTACGCGATCAGCTCGGCTGACTCGCGCTTAGGAGTAGAGGTAGCTTGCGGGACAAGGCACCTAGGCAGGAGGGGATGTAGACTGGGGTAGCGCTCAGACTCGTTGCTTTTTGCTTGTATGTTTCTCGTTTACTGCAATTGTGATTTCCTAAACCACGGGGAACTAGCAGTAGAGAGGAGCTGAAGCAAATCGGCGGAGCCCTTGCGAGGGAGTTAAGTCTTGTTTCATAGTGGGAAGCCTGAGATACGAGGAGGGGATCAGAACAGAGTGATTACATACGCCAGGAGGAAGAAGGGATGAGCCGGTCGCCTGGATGAGAGGTGGAGGGAGAGGGAGTGAGGAAGTCAGGCAGGGATGCAAGGGAGAGTGAGAAGGAAGGGACAGCAGAGGGGATTCACGACATCTGCTCCTCGGCGCCTCAGCTCCTCTGGGCATTCGCTCTTGCGATGGCCCGGCCTGTTGCAAGCAAAGCAGCGCCCCTTAAACGGTGCGGCAACTGCATTCGTTGCAACGACGTGTACAGTGGCGTGCTCGGTCGGTCCCCGAGGGCGATGTCCGTAGTAGGACCCCGGTCTCGGTCGGCGTAGAATGTTGACTTTCTCGGCGAGCGCGAGAATCTCGTTGAAGTTAGAGAGTCCGCGCAGCATGATTTCGTGCGAGATATCCGGCTTCAGCCCTCCGATGTAACGGTCCACCTGCTCCGCTTCGTGCATGTAGCCGACCTGTTCGCAAAGTGCGAGAAAACCGCTTGTATAATCTTGAACTGACCCGAGCTGGCGCCAAGTGCGCGATCTCTGACGCGCCGAAATTGAAGCCGCGATCGGCTCAAAACGCGCCCGAAGCCCTGCGCACCACGCATCCCACGTGCTGTATTGGGCGGTCTCGCATAACGAACTCCAGGTGACAGCTGGACCCGTGGGCCCTTCCTCGTGCGACGGTGGCTCGTAGGCGCGTGGCGACGTCACGATGACTCGCCACCAGTCCATGGCGGGGCCCCTTAGCAGTGAAACTGCATACCGGATCTTCGCGGCGTCCGACTCGACGTAATTTGCGTCGAAGAAGACGTTCATCGTGAAGACCCACGATTGAACCGTCGGACCGCCGCGTTGGCTTGGGTCGAAGCAGGGCGGGCGTTGCGGCTTGAGCGGCATTGGTGTCGTGATGGCGTGTTCGCCACTTGTCGCCGCAAATTCCACGTGCCGACGGGCCTCTCGGGGCTCCCGTGGGCTTGGTGCGATCCTGTTTCCTCCCATGCCAGGCATCGGCTGGGCGGCGCCATCACTGGCTGCGCCTGAGCGTTGTCCCATGCTGTCGTGTTGTGTTGGTGTGCCGGACGAGATGATGATCGGCTCATCCGAATGTGCAGATACATTTGTTGGTGCGTGTGATGTCGTCGGTATGTTCACCGTAAACTGTTGACGGGCGGAGTCACGTTCCGCCGTGAGAGTCGCGATTTCAAGCGCCGAATCCTCCAGTTGACGCACGAGACGATCAAGTTGCTACTGCGTCAATGTGGCGAGCGTGAAGTCGGCCATGGCGGGGGTGTCGGGCAAACTCAGCGAGAGCCTCGGTCGTGGCCGTGCGTGCTTGCGAGAGAGCACTACGAGCGGCGGTGCTATATCGCTGAGAGACGTCTACCCCCCCAAAAAAATTGAGATAGTGGGGAAGCGAAGGTGTGGATGCGGTCCGAGATGAGGTCGTAGGCTCTGAATACCAAGTGTTACGAGTGCAATTGAGTGAGCGAACGAGAATTGCACTATCGAAGCAAGAATACAATGAGCGAAGGCATGATCGAAGAATATATAGCGAAACTACAGTGGTAACGGTAATGGTCTGTGGTAGTCGCGCGACGAGCCTGGGACTGAGGTTTGGGAAAGTGTCGAAGCGTAGGCCCGGAGCGCGGGTTACCAGCCGAGCCGTGAGGTCGGGATGCGATGTGCGAAAATGGCGGGATGATTATCGATGCGATGGTCGCGAGTGGTAACGGTGCTGACTCAGGTGCTACAGTGAGGTACGCGTTGAGCAGGGATGCGAAGTAAGGAAAAGGGATTTTCCTTACACTAACATTGTTCTGTACTTGGATTCTTACGTGTCCTACACTACACGTCACTTGTTTCGTCAGTTGACTCACGCATGCAAGCCATTCGTTACTTCGAGTGACGGAAGATCTTAGCGGTCGCACTGGCAAGCCGCAGATGCACACGACGAGTCACATCACATCCGCCGTTACTCCTCAGTAGATCAACCGCCTCTGGAGCCTCCCTCAATTCTAGCCGTAGGATCACGAGTCGTCCTCTTCTCTTTCCCAATTTCTTTGTCAACACGCAAGCCAACTGTGATTCCTTGCAAGATTGTTCATTCTCGCCAGCCCGATATCGCCCGAGAGAGATTGACGAGGAGCTGCGAGGAGTTCCATCAGCTGTTAGCGCAACGGGGGAAATATCCGCGTTTTAGGACACACCGAAATTCAACTAAACCGTTCTGAACCGACTTGAAACGATGAGCGATGGCCATCTTGACGGCGACGGCCCATGGGGAACGGTTATCCGTCAGTTATTAATCCAACACGGCGAGCGGCTCGTGTGCCTCTTATTCCACGAGCCCAAGGGCTTGCTGCTGCTTCTCGCTAGCGGCGCCGCGCACTCGATATGGAGTATAGTCACCTTGTCGCGCTCCATTGGCGCGCTTCGGTCCGCGCGAGACGCGCGAATCGCGGATGTGGTGAATTTGGGCGCGAACGTAGCTATAAAGAAGCGGAAGAAGCAGAAGGGGCGGCGGAAGGGGTCGCGAGAGGGGGAGCGGAATGGGGTGCGGGAGGGGGAGCGGAAAGGGGAGCGGAAGAGGGATAGGGTGCACTTACTAAGTTCCGCCAGCGGCATCGCTAATGCAGCGATTGCGCGGAGCGGGGAAGGAGAGGCAGGGGGCGGAGCAGCTGAACGTGTGGGGAAAGGAGCCACGGCGGGAGGGGGAGTTAGCACTGGTAGCGCAAGAGCGGAGGGCGCAAGAGCGGAGGCCTGGAAAGGCGACCTGAAGGGGGTTCGGAGGGATGGGGCGCGGTGGCGGCTAGACAGAGTAGCTAAAGGATTAGAGATACTGGAAAAGGAGGTGGTGAGGCGGCGAGAGGCTGCAGGCCTGACCCACGCACCAGCACAGGTTGACTCGTCTGGATGCGTTGACTCAGTTGACTTGTGGCGGCTACCAGTGGTGCGTAAGAGGTGGCAGAAGCGGTGGTGGGGCGGGCACATAGTGACGAGTGGTAGCGAGCCCTCGTTCAAGTCACATTCGCTGCAGGGGAAGGAACTGGTGGCGGTGAGAGGCGTGGTGCAACCAGCGTACAGCGGTGGTGGTGGTGGTGGTGGTGGTGGTGATGGTGGTGGTGGTGGTGTTGCTGCTTCCAATGGCGGCGGTGCTTTTGGTGCTGGTGCTGGTGGGGGCATTGGTGGTGGTGCGACCACTGCTGGTGGCGCTGCAGTGCTGGGGGGGGTGGCAGCACGTGAAGGGGTGGAGTGGCAAGGGGTGGTGGAGTATGGAAGGAGCGTGCACGGGGATGGTGTGACTGCAGGCGCGGTGATTGTAGAGAGGGTTGATGAGGTGAGTGAAGGGGCACGAGTCATGATGTAAGATAAAGTTGGAGACCTTCTTCTAGGAATACCTTGACTCATGTTCGAAGGGCTGCAGTGGTTGAATGAACGTCACCTGCAGCCCTTCGAACATGAGTCAAGGTGACCCTTGGAGACCTTCTTCTAGGAATCAACAAAAAAAAAGCCTGGAGCAACAAGGGTTGGAGAATGTTGGGGAAGTGGGGTGGAGTTGCAGCAGGTCGCCACACAGCATGAGGTCGAGAGAACCATGTCTGTCTTGCATGTGCCACGTGTCAGCAGACTGAGAGTGCCACGTGCCCTTTCCTGCTTATGCCACGTGTCAGAGAGTGCCACGTGCCCTTTCCTGCTTATGCCACGTGGCAGATGGTGTATTCCGAGCTTCAAGCCCTCCTGGGATGGCGTGTCAAGTCAGAGCGAGTCAACTCCTTCCGCTCCGAGGTATGAACCATTCTGCCCGCCCGTAAGTGGCGCAGCCCGTAAGTGGCGCAGCCCGTAAGTGTCGCCGCCCGTAAGTGGCGCAGCCCATAGTTGCCGCCGCCCATGCGTTACGCTTATTAGTCCAGACACATACACACATGACCCATGGCAATCTATGTTGTCATGCCTATGCTTGTACCTGTACCCATGCACATTCCAGTGCACATAGAGATGTTTACACTTACACCCACTCACACACCATCCCCCCCAACTCTCCAATTCTCCACTTCTCCCATTTCTCCCTCCCTCTCTGTCTTCCACTCACGAGCTCCATTTCTCCTCCCTCCTTCCACGGCGCATCTCGCAGGTTCCCTTCTGCCTGGCCGAATCTCCAGACACATCAGCTCCACGTGTCAGCATCCCATTGGCCAAGAACCCATCCGATCAGCAACCCTCTATCCCTCTAGTCACCCTTCACTCCCACCTGCACAAGGCTCTGCCGCCCACTCTCGCCTCCGCCGCCCATTTAATCGCCGGGCGGCGCATGCCCCTCGGGATGCGGTCCGAGCACCGGGTGCTGCCGGTCAATCACGCGCTGACAGCTGTCGGCCACGTCCACGTCAGCAAGGACGGCCGGGCGGCGCTGGTACCTTCTCCGTGCCTTCCCTTCTTCCTGTGAGAATCTAGATGCTCTGTCCTGTCCCACCTCCGCCTTCCTGCCTGTCCCCTTTTCCTTCATAGAACCAAACTCCTCCTCTTTGCTCCTCGCTTTCCCTACCTCCGCTCACTTCTGCCCCACTCTCCCCTTCCTCTCCTTCCCTCCCTTCCCTCTTCTCTGCCCACCTTTCCTTCCCCTCGTCCCATCACTTCCCCCTCTCCTCCCCTCCCCTTGCCACCTTCCCTCTTCACTGTCCACAGTTGTCTACGGTTGTGTCTTCCTGCTCTTCTTGAGAAGTCCCAAAAGCGACTGTCATTTCTGCCAACCTTCACCTCTTTTCACAATCCCACACTTCGCCTTCCCACTCCAATCTCGCTGCCTCCCCTGCTTTTCCATCCCAGCCTAAACGAGAGTAGAGAGGGGGCACTGCAGCGGCTGCAGCTGCAGCAGAGGACTCAGGTGAAGCGGGCAGCGCTCTTTGCTCTCGCTGCATCTGTTGTTGCAGGCTTCATGTGGTGGAGGTGAGAACCTCAGGGAGGGGGAGGGGTATATGGTGGGCATGGGAGCGGCCTGTTGCTGCTGCCACAGGCTTCATGCGGTGGAGGTGAGAACCGGAGTGTCGGTGGGAGAGGTGTTATTTGGTGAAAGTGAGAGTTAGAGTTCTTGGTGAAAGTTAGAGTTGGAGTTCTTTTCTGCCCCTGATTCTTCCCTGCCCCTGCCCTTTCCCCACCCCTGCCTCTCCACCTCCTCTCAGAAAGCGTCGCAACGAGAGGCGGGAGCGGGAGTACGCGGAGCAGAGGGAGGCTGCCAGAAACGACGCTCTCGCATTGCAAGGCGCTGGTGCTGCTGCTGGCGCCTGGCCAGAGGATTTCCCTCCTCTCCTCCCTGCCGCTGCTCGCGACCCTTTAAGCGGACGAAACCAGCAGCTAGAGGAGATTCTTGAGGCTGTGGAGGTGATTAGAGAGGCGCAGAGAGAGGAGAGTGGGGAGGGCATAGGGGAGGGGCAGCAGGAGGAGGAAGAGGAGGAGGAGGGGTTGGATTTGGATGGGGAGCATGAGTTGCCAGCAGAGCAGGTGTGTGTGGTGTGTGCTGGGAGGGTGAGAAGAGCGGTGTTCATCCCGTGTGGGCACCGTGTGTGCTGCCTGCGGTGCGCAAGGGCTGTCAAGCAGAGCAGCTCCCTCTGCCCCATCTGCCGGCGGTTTGTGCGGCGAGTGTATCAAGTGTTTGATACGTGAGAAGATGTTTGGTGCGTGTCCAAGGATGGTTATATGCTAAGGATACCAGTTGCTTGACTGTGAAAGGGGATCACCGGCTACTGCGTAATGTTGCTATGTCAGGTCAACAGTAGCCTTGGATTCACTACTGTACGTTACATGTATATAATGTAAATATTCAATACATTGCCATACAACACTGCACCTTAGTTTCACGCAGTTAGTGAGGGAGAAATGGAACCTGACAGACAGTGCTGCAGCATGTGTGAACAGCAACAGCTGCTGCAATATGTCAACACTTCATCCCTTGGAAGTATAACACTTCTCCAAGTCTCACGAATGAGGGGTTGCACCTTTGAGACCGTTGGCCTGCTGCAGGGCCCTTGGTTTGCTGCAGTCCGGCTGCTGCAGCACTAGCTGTTTGAGCTGATGGAGTTATTCTGTATCGACCCAAAACGTCATATGGTATCATCCGCTCGCTGCAAGTTTTGAGGCGTTGTCTCTACATCCCTAGGTGCCTCAAAAGGCGCATCGTCAGCTTGCTGCAAGTCCCTTGCTTCCCCGCAGTCCGGCTGCTGCAGCACTAGCTGTTTGAGCCGATTGATTTCAGCTGCAGCGCAAACATGGGTAAGTGTGAGAGAGAAGATAGTCTGACAGTGCCTTACGGGTGAGTGTGCATGTGAGTGAGTGAGCGAGCGCGTGTGGGTTGTGAGCGACACTGAAGCACTGTTGCAAAATCAGACCAACAAGGCAGAGTGAGAATTGCAGAAAGAGTCGTGTTTTGAGTCGACTCAAGGCAGAGTGAGAATTGCAGAAAGAACGTTCAACTGGCAGGCTGCGCTGGAACACAGGCTTTTGAGTTGCATCAAAAGTGACAAGGCAAGGTGAGCATTGAAACAAAAAATCACATGGCAGGCTGCAAGGGAACACGGGCAGCAGCAGAATCAGCGCCTTGCACAGATAATCAATCTTGATCCTCATGCTTGTTCAACCTTGAACCCTTCCCTCCCTTTCACTCACCATCCTTCCCTCTCACTCACCTTCCCTCCATCTCAATCACCCTCCCTCCCTCCCACCAACCTCCCCTTCCTCACACTCACTCTCCCTCCCTCCCACCCTTCTTCCTTCCGACACTCACCTTCCATCTCCCTACATCGCTCCGCTGCTCGCCTCTCTCTCTCCTGGCTCCTCCTCAGCATGCGCCTCAGCTCCCTGCTCTCTGCCAGTACTAGACACACCACCCCTATTACCTCCACACGACATCACCCACTCACCTTCCATCGCCCTGCATCGCTCTGCTGCTCGCCTCTCTCTCTCCTGGCTCTTCCTCAGCATGTGCCTCAGCTCCCTGTTTTCCGCCAGAACCAGCGACACCACCCCTATCACCTCCTCCTCCTGTGAATCCCAACACTCCTCCTCGTCCCCTTCCTCCTCTTGTGCCTCTTTCCCCAGTTCCTCCTCTGTTCTGCCTTTGCCATCACACTTCTCCTCTCCTTCCTGTGGTGAAAGGCGAGCGGTGGGGAAATGCATATCCTCTTCCTTTGGTGTGCCCCCTCCCTCCCATTCCCCCACCTCTTGCACTTCTCTTCTTCTTGACGCAACCTTCTCCTCATCTCCTCCTTCACTCCCATACGCAACCTCCTCCTCTCCATCTCCCCGCCCCTCACCACTCTCATTTCTGCCCCTTCCTCCTTCTCCCTCCCGAGCATTCCCATCCGCACCACTCCCGTTCGCCTCCGTACCACTCCCAATTCCACCCCCGTTTCCCACCCCTAGCCCCACCAGCCTTCTGACTGCTCTCTCCATTGCTTCACCTCGTCTGCTCTCTCTATCCGATTCTCCACCAATGGCATGGTGGGATAATACATCATTCAGTCTCCTGTCTCCCCTGCTGGTCCCCCCAATAGCACCATCACGTTCCTCTGATCTCCCACTAGCAGCGGCACCTCTGGGCGGCAGTTTTTGGCCTCGTCTGGAGCTGGCCGGCCAGGGAGCAGACCTGCCCAGCCAGAGTCGTGTAATGTCTGCCAGCCTGTCAATCTTGTCCTCTAGTGCACGTAATCTATCCATACCGGACCAATCTGCTGCTGCTCCACCATACCTTACTCCTCCCGAACCTCCTGTCACACCTTCCCTAAACCCCTCTCCTGGCCCTTCCCCTCCTGCCTCTCCCTCCCTGCCAGCCTGTCTATTTTGTCCTCTGGTGGCGCTCCCTACACATGCTGACAAGTTGGTATGCTTGGGCGGCAAGAGAGGGGGTATGGAGGACGAGGTGGGAGGGGAGGGAAGGATGAAGGGGAGAGGGAGGAGGACGATGGGGGGGTGGGTAGATGAGGAGGTATCCTTGACAAAGGTGGCAGCAGTGGTGTGTGTCAGGCTGGGTGAAGCTTCTAGGAAGTTGGGGCCTTGCTGTGCGTCTGAATCTCTGCCTGAAGCATTAGGCGATGGCACAGAGGGTGGTACAGGGCGCGCTTTTTGAGGCGCCTCAAAAGATTTTTGAGACGATTTTTGAGGCGCCTCAAAAAAAGAATCTCTGCCTGAAACATTAGGCGATGGCACAGAGGGTGGTACAGGGTGCGCTTGCGGCCTTGCTGCTGCTGTATTAGCTTCAGCTTGACCCGATGGCCCAGTGAAAGGTGGTGGTGGTGGTGGTGGTGCTGCTGCTGCTTCTGTTGGCAGTGCTGCATTTGCAGTGGATTCTGCTGTTGCTGCTGCTGATGGTATGGGTGCTGCTGCTGTGGTTGCCCCCCTATCACGCCCATCTGCCGAAACCTCCTGCTGTGTAACCTCTCCGTTTTGCAAGGCAGAAAGAGATTTCGAAGCAGCATGGGCATCACACTGTGTGGCACCAATGTTGTTGCCATGTAAAGCAACAACAGCACCCTTCACAGCAGCATTATCCTTGCAAACGGCTTGTTGTGCTGCTCGATTGGCTGCTGCTCCTGATGTAACTCCTCCTACCTCTTTTGTTGCTGGCCCTCCTGATCTCCTTACCCCATCTGCCCCCTTCACCCCTTCCACTCCTTCTGCCTCCTCCCCTCCTTTTTCAATCGCTGCACGACCCATACTGGTACGCCCAAGCGGAACTCCCGAGGCAGCAGCACCAGCCAATGGGGGCGTGCCAGGTGGCGTCTTAGCAGAAGCCGACGCGAGGGAGGAAGCTGACCCGTGCAGGCCAGAAGCAGATGAGAGGCCTCCTGGCCAGGCGTTGCGAAAGAGCTTGGAAGGGCTGACAGGAGCTGAGCGGGAGGAGAAGGAGGAGGAGATGGAGTCTGCAGCAGAAACGACTGAAAGAGCATCACTCATATCACCGTCCATGTCTGGGTCTTGGTTCGGGTCTAAGTCGGCCTCGCTGGGAGTTGAGGAGTGCGGGAGAGAGTGTGTGGATGACTTGCGACGCCTGCTGCTAGCTGCTCCTCCTGACTGGCCTTGAGCAGTGGCAGCAGCTGCTGCTGCTGCTGTTACTGCTTCTGGTTTGCGCATTCGATGAAGGGTGATGTCGAGGAACAGGAGGGTGTTAGGTGGTAACTGCAAAAAGGGGGACAATAGAAGGGGGAGTAGGAAACGGTGGGGGTGAATAACAAGGCATACAAGAGCCGGCAACATACAAATGTTCAAGACGCGTGATTTTTATTTTCCTTCTTTTTTTCTTTTTTGATTCCGACAATTTCTGAGTTTGCCAAGCATCGGTTCAAAAAAGGAGGCAAGGAAGGAAATACTGTTCAAGTATTGCGACGTCTCAAACTCAACTCCCCATCTAACGGATTCCAATATTGCCCTCAATCAACATTTGAGGTACCTCCAATCAAAAGACACCTGGCAGATCATTAACTTGCCCGTTATCAACCTACATTAGGAGGCAAGGATGGAAAATCCCCACGACCGGCAGCTGAGGGGGAAACAGCAAGGAAGCGCCTCCCCCCCTTTCGCATGCCCACTACCCCTTGCTCCAGGGCTGGTGTACGGGTGTGGAGAACGGAGAGAAGAGTGGTAACGCGCGAGGGTGGAAGAGGGTGAAGGCGGGAAAGGAAGGTGAAGGTGAAGGTGATCTCATGCCCAAGTCATCGGGAGAGTATTGCTTGATACTTCAAAGCGACCCCCCCCTCCTCCATCCTTGTGTATGCCCATGATTCCCCGTTCCAAAGCAAAGCATGTGAGCACTACACGTATGGAAAGATGATGGGAAGCTTGTCAAATTTGCACGAGAAAGCGCGTTGTCAACTTTGGGAAAGAGCACGTGTAGGAGAAACGACTGGTAGGTGAAGCGCGACGATAGCACAATAGTATGCAAAAGGTGACGGGTCAAGTGGTGCATGATAAAGAGTGATATACACGCAGAAACGATTGTACCTTCTAAGGCCTTGTGCGAGCCCAGTAGCAGCTTTACTCCCTTCCCTGGAATAGGACGAATGTGTGGGCAGGGGAGGCAGCAGGAAGTGGAAAGAGATAGAGGCAGGAATAGAATACTTAGCGGGGGAAGAAAATGCGCAAGACACAAGTATTGCATATAGGACGTAGCAGCAGTGCTGTGATCCCCGGCATTCCAAGCAAACATTTCTCAAAGGTAAACCTGGAGCAAGCATTGCTGAAAGTGCGGAATTCAATCCAGCAGATACACAAGGCTTTAAGAGCACAGGCTGTGTGTGTGCTGTGTGGTGCAGTGCTGTGCTGTGCAGACATGCAAACGAACCTTGAGTGACGAGAAATGGCTTGGGAGGGGGCAGGTGTGGTGATGTGAAGGGGTCAGCCGCCCATGCTGTCACCGCCACTTGCACCTGTGACGAAGGGGGATATTAGTTTAATATGGCAGTAGAGACCACGGTTGAAAACGCACAGGTACTACCAGACTAGCATGTTAACCAGCACAGGGGAAAAAAACAAGGGGGCTTCTTCCTGTTCTGTTTTCCTCTGCCTAAAATCTTGACCCAGACACAATAGCTGTATAAGCACGTGAGGTGCTGATGAGATGAGACCCAGACATGCACATGAGATGCTGTGGGTGAAACACTCCTTTTCTTTCCTTTTCTTTCACCAAGCTCCCTCCCCTGGCCCTCAGTCTCACTTCGGTTAATCCCCTCGCTCGCACTATCCTCCTTTTCATTCAAACCCCTTTCCTTTCCCCCCCACACCCCCCCTGTACCCTCTCATCGACTTACAGTGTCTCCCCCCTCTGCCTGCGACCTGTGTCCGCCTGTGCTTAACAATACATCCTGCACAGAAGCACACATGCACACGCCACACACGATAATAAGTACAACCAAGGTTGGGATGGGATGGGCAAAGCTAGAGAAAGGATGGGATGGCCACGTGTAGCGAGGTTGTTTTTGAGACGTCTCAAAAACAACCTCTCTGCCCACACGATAATAAGTACAACCAAGGTTGGGATGGGCAAAGCTAGGGAAAGGATGGGATGGGAACCCAAGCAAATCTCCAATGATGAGTTGGCAGATTTGTTGGATTACGGGGAAATCCCAACCAGATTAGGTTGGGATAATAAATCTACACCCAACCTACAAATAACCTACACGATATAAAATAGAGTACACAAATGTGTTGACAGCATATTTCTAACAGCAGAAACATGATTGTGCGGGATGTAATGCTGAGCGCACACACATGAGTGCTGCCAGTTCAGGTCTGCTGCGTTACTGGTGCAGCAAGACCCTCGAGGGGGACGGCAAGAGTTCGTGCAAAAGTACACACGAGTGATCCCTTACTCTCAAGCGAGCTGACTTTCGACAGCTGACTTTTGAGTTGACACAAAAGTCAACTCAAAAGGTGGCAAGAGTTTGTGCGAGAGTGCGCACAAGTGATCCCTTATTCTCGAGACATAAAGTCAGTCAGGCTTACTTGCAGCGTGGGAGGGACCGGCACGTAGGCATGCGGGGGGTAGGTCTGTGCTGCCGCAGATGCAAGGTGCGCCGAGAGGGACGTGGCGAGCGCACGAGCAAAGCCGATGGCGAGAAGGAATGCTGAAGAGTCTGTAGGACTGAGGAGGAAGGAAGGCAGGGGGGGATCTGGGTGAGGCTTGAGGGCTGTACAGGGGATAAGAATGATGCCGCGGTGAGGGGATAGTCGGATAGGTGTGGAAGGGGACTAGAGACAAAAACAACACATTTGATGGAAATGATGCCGCGGTGGGCAAAAAACACCTCAGTAGGCAGAGTGGTTTGTACTGAAGAGACTACTCTCCGCACTGCCAACCAACCAGCGTGTACCTTGCGAGCATGAGGCATTCAATTCTGTTCTGCCACGTCTAAAAAAACAGCCAGGAAAGAATTTTACAGTCTTGATCCTTCTTGCTTACGCGTGTTTACAGGTTTGCTGCTACTCCCGACATGAATTTGGGTCTAAAAAACCAGCCAGCCGATACATTGCGAACATGAGGGATTTAGAAACGTCTCGGAACTCCCCGCACACCAAACCAGCTAGGCAGCCATTACCTTGCGAACATGAGGATCCAGCGAGTGCCGTCTGGTGTGACCATGTGCACGCGCACATCCGTCTGGGGCTGCGGGAAGGAGTGGGGCGGGAGGGGGTTTGACGGGGATAAGGGGGAAGAGAAGAATAAGCAAGGAATGAGGGAAGGGTGTACCACTAGGTGACTTTTGAGTCGACTTGGAAGCTGGGGACGTATAGGGTATGAAGGAAACGCTTCCACTCACCTGGCACCAGAAGGAGGTGGCGATGGCAGCATGCAGCAACACCCGCCCATCCGCCACACAGCGCAGCTCCAGCCGCTGCAGCTGACCCGTGCCGTGTGCCACGAGAGCAGCATGCACGCAGTCAAACACCAGCTCTTCCTCCCTCGCTGCTCCGTCCGGACCTGGTGGGTTAACCATTCAGGGAAGAGCAAGGGGCAGGTTCCGTCTCTTAAAGCCATGCGTCACCACCACAGCACCAGGGCTGTGTGCCACGAGAGCAGCATGCACGCAGTCAAACACCAGCTCTTCCTCCCTCGCTGCTCCGTCCGGACCTGGTGGGTTAACCATTCAGGGAAGAGCAAGGGGCAGGTTCCGTCTCTTAAAGCCATGCGTCACCACCACAGCACCAGGGCTGTGTGCCACGAGAGCAGCATGCACGCAGTCGAAAACCAGCTCTTCCTCCCTCGCTGCTCCGTCCGGACCTGGTGGGTTAACCATTCAGGGAAGAGCAAGGGGCAGGTTCCGTCTCTTAAAGCCATGCGTCACCACCACAGCACCAGGGCTGTGTGCCACGAGAGCAGCATGCACGCAGTCAAACACCAGCTCTTCCTCCCTCGCTGCTCCGTCCGGACCTGCAGAGGCGGGTCAGGGAGGGTTGGTCATGGAGTAGTAGGGGAGTGGGAGGAGCAGCTGCTCCATCCAGACCTGGTGGGGTGGATTAGGGAGGGTTATTCCGAGAAAGGGATAATGGCAGAAGCACCCAGAGGGCTGGAAACGGCGCTAAAGACCAGCTCCTCCTCCCTCACTGCTCCATCCGGACCTGCAGGGGTGGGTTATTTGCGCAAGGTGCAGCAGCTTGAGTCAATCAACTGCCATTGCATCCGGGCCCGTGCCTCACCAGAGCAGCCTGCACGGTGTCAAACACCAGCTCCTCCTCCCTCGCTACTCCTTCCTTCCGGATCTGCAGGGTTTGTTTGCGCAGGCAGGGTACAGCTTGGATCGCTTAAAGCCATGTGATGTGCTGTCATTCCATCCACCCGGGCCCGTGCCTCACCAGAGCAGCCTGCACGGTGTCAAACACCAGCTCCTCCTCCCTCGCATTGCCATCCGGAACCTGGGAGCGCCAAGAGGGGTGACACGAATATTGAAGAGCCGCAGAATAAATCCATTGGTCAAGTGACATGGGCTTAATTCAACTTCAACCTGGGAGGATTAAGAGAGGAGAGAGGAATTTAGAGGAGCCTCAAAGGCGGGCCGGACCGGACCTCCGCGGGAGGAGGGCGGAGCGAGGGGGCGCGCATGGAGGAAGGGTGGCATAGAGGAGTAGGGGAGGGTGGGCATGGGAGGTAGGCGCAGGGGAGGGAGGGGACGCGCAGGGCGGGGAGGCGAAGGTAGTATAGGGAAAGAGATGAGATGGCTTCTGAGCCACCCCAGATGTTTGAGGTTGATTTTGAGAATTCTCAAAATCAACCTCAAACAAAATGAGAATTCTCAAAATCAACCTCAAACAAAATGAGAATTCTCAAAATCAACCTCAAACAAAATGAGAATTCTCAAAATCAACCTCAAACAAAATGAGAATTCTCAAAATCAACCTCAAACAAAATGAGAATTCTCAAAATCAACCTCAAACAAAATGAGAATTCTCAAAATCAACCTCAAACAAAATAGGCGCAGGGGAGGGAGGGGACGCGCAGGGCGGGGAGGCGAAGGTAGTATAGGGAAAGAGATGAGACGGCTTCCGAGCCACCCCAGACGCCGCGAAGAGGATAGGAGAAAAAAGGGGAGGAAAGGGGAACCGGTGGGGGGGAAGGGGAGCAGAAGGGGAAGGGGGGAGGGGACCGTAACGGAGTAGTGCAGGGAGGCACTGATGGGGCCAAGGGACGACACGAGGACTGAAAGGAGAGGCCGGCATGCAGGGGGACTGAATACTGTTGCGTGGGGACACGAGGACGGGTGGAGGGAGAGCATGATAACTCGCTTGGAACAAGTTGCTGAAAGAAGTTGTTGAAGTACGCGAGTTTGAAGTAGTGTTTTGAGTAGTTGTTGGAATACACGAGAACCAGAGCTAGGCGATCTCAGAAACCATGGGAAAACGGGAAATCTCAGAAATGGGATTCGGGACTTGGAGTATGCGTTATAGGGAGTGTGCGGATTGTGGGTAGAAGACAGGATGAGAAGCCATCGTGTTAACTCTTTCGAAGCTCGTTCCAGCCTCGCAGGCAGTCGCACCTGCGATCACTCGTCGGACGACGACTTGGGCGATCGCGACGGAGAAGGCGACGCTCGGCGAATTGAGAGAGTCTTGGCCTTTTCGCCATGGATCTCCGCCACGTTCTGCCGTTTCCGCCATGGAGTTATCGTGCGGAAGGACATGAATCAATTGAGAGCGACGGCGTGCGCAGGGAAGAAATTCAGAGGATCACGGCGGATCAATTGACTGATCTGGATGTATCGTAAATTGTCGGTTGTACGCTATATTGGCATTTCAATATCGTTCGGTCGTTTTACTTGCAGTTGGTTTCTGATTGTGTTTCAACTCACTGCGCGTTACATACGGTTTAAAGTTTAGGCTGCCCTATTGTTGCATGATAACAAAACTCCATACCGAGTGAAGATTCTTGCACCTAGGCCTCGATATTATGTTGGAGGACTGCTCAAGTCTTGATACCGTGCACCAAGCGCCAGCCGTCGGACAGCTTTCTTCGCACGGGGGAAAGGCCAGGTCAGCGAAGGAAACGCCTCTCTTTGGTCCAATCTGCGAAAATCTTGGGAGCGGGTGAGGCTGGATCATGTGCCGTCACGAGTATGGTCGACCAAACGTTCTTTTGTTCACGGTTCGGAGAATTTTGTTACGTTGGAAATCGGTATGCTAGTTATCCACAGCGGTTTCGTAGGGTGTTTGCGGAAGGGAACTTCGGAACACAGCGCGGCGGAGCTGGTGCATTTTCCACTGCCCAAATCGATATTTTCACTCACTTCATGCTTAAAGTGGTTCGATGTTCTCCCTTCCAGCCGTCCCACGCGAAGCATTCGTCCACGGGCACGCGATTCTTTTTTAGCTGTTTTCATTCCCTCCCTGCCCGTTCGAGTGCAGTTCCCCTAATTGGGCTCGTAACGCGTGCGTTTATACGATTGAATCGCAGCCGCCCATGGCCTGCCTGCTTTGCATGCTCCCTCACCCTCGAACGAACCCCCCCACTCCCTCCTACCCCCTGTGACGTCACCTTCCTTCTGCTACATCGTCATGATCGTCTTTATACGCTGAATTTAGGTTTTGTGGACACTGGTCCTCCTTATCTCAGCATCATCTGATCCGAGCCGAGACCGCTATTGCTGCTTCGCGGTTCGTGTCTGCATTGCTTTCCACCATTCACTTCGCCAGCTCGAGCTGGTTCCACAGGCCACTTGCCTTCCCCCAGCGTCACGTCTTCGTTCTCGCATGTACCCTACTCCTCCTAGACATGCTCAGCTTCCAGCGGTGCTTGTCGGAGATCCGGTGGTTTCAATTGTAGGGTAAAGCCTGACAACGCGACAGCTTCCGTTTCACAAGCTGCCGAACTGTGCAACCGCCCTCGTACTCTATCGCGTGGCGGGCACGAATGCCAGATATAGCTCTAATTGTCGGAACCTAGACCAGCCAGGAGTATAATCATCGAACGTAGAACATCTTACATCGGCGTTGTTTGTCATTATATAGCTGCTCATCGACCTGCCATTCCATCATCCCCACTTCGCACTCATACCCATCAATTACTACTCCTTCACAGACCCCTTATCTCGCTTCCTTAGGGTTGCCTTCATTCTGCCGTTTTTGTTTCTCACGCAATTATTCCGCGGCCATGGCGCACGCGTTTAGTACGAACCACACCGCGCTCATGTCGGAAGCCGTCGCTAAAATTGCGCACCGCCGAACATCGTCGATCACTACCCCCCCTCTCTCCTCCTCCTCCCTTCCCCCGTTCAGCTCCAAATCCTTAGCTCCTGCCACCTTGCGACGGTCACAACAACACCCCTCTCCAGCCATCCGCTCGTCTCTCACCAATGGCGCCGCCCGCCGCGCGGGGTCGATGGACGAGTCCAGCCCGTTCGCGCCCTTCTTCCAGCACGTTTTCCAATCGGACGTCTCCACCCGTCCGATGATGGTCCCGGATTCGTTCGAGACCGTTCCGAACGTCCAGGACGAGCTTTGGTATACCATCCGGGAAGAGGCTCGGCAGGATTCCGAGGCTGAGCCTGCGTTGGCCTCGTACCTCTACTCCACGGTGCTAGCGCACCGTTCCCTGGAGCGATCCATGGCGTTTCACCTGGCGAATAAGCTCCAATCGCCGACTCTTTTAAGCACGCAGCTCTGCTCGCTCTTCACCGACGTGATGCTTCGATCGCCTGAAGTTCAGGAGGCGCTGCGCGCCGATCTGCGTGCCATCTACACCCGTGACCCCGCGTGCCGGAGTTACTCTCACGCGATGCTGAATTTCAAGGGTTATCAGGCGCTGCAGGCGCATCGGATCGCGCATCGGCTGTGGCTGGAGGGCCGTCAGGGATTGGCCATGGCGCTTCAAAGTCGCGTGTCGGAGGTGTTCCACGTGGATATTCATCCGGCTGCGAGAATCGGGAATGGAGTGCTATTTGATCACGCGACGGGGCTGGTGGTTGGCGAAACGGCGACGATTGGTAACAATGTTTCCATTCTGCATCATGTGACGCTGGGAGGGACGGGGAAGAGCACGGGCGACAGGCATCCCAAGGTCGGCGACGGCGTTCTGATTGGCGCTGGCGCGACGCTGCTTGGACCAATCAGGATTGGGGAGGGAGCGAAAGTAGGAGCAGGGTCAGTGGTGCTGCTGGATGTGCCGCCGCGTGCGACGGTTGTGGGGATTCCAGGGAGGCTGGTTGGCGGGAAAGAGAAACCTGCCATGTCTACAGTGAACCCTAGTGAGACTATGGACCACACCTCGTTCATTCTGGATTATACCATCTGAGATCTGGAGAGTCCCTGGCTTGGGACTTGATATGTTACTCTCCTTGGAGCTTGCTGCTGCTGGCTGTGAGGTATAGGGTGGAATTGGACATATGTGAAATAGGGTTTGGGGTGGCACCGTGGCAGGGAAAGGCTGGCAGGCTGGCAGCCTACAATGGCAATATGTCATGCGACCATGGTGGTCGGTTGTATTAAATTTCGTTTGTGCTCATGCTGCTGGGCGCCCCTGTGCTTTTGTATTTTCAGTTATTTTAAAATTAAAATTGAGCACTATTATATCGTTGCATTGAAACTCCAAGCGAGGATGTGGTGGTCGATTGGCTTTGCTGATGGCTGGTTATTGAGAAGGTGGCTCCTAAAACTTGCTACTGTACAGGATATTGTTCAAGAGTTGTAGCCACGTGCAAATCCTGTTTCAACTGTTGGGCTGAGATAGCCCCTTAGGATCTTTGCAAGGGATAACTCTAGGTGAAGTAGTTGTAATAGCGGAAGCGTTTAGTGAAGAATTTGAACCGACCTTGCACTGGTGTGTGAGAGCAAAGTTGATTTGAATTAAACAAGCAAATACAAGGATTTATATAAGAGTACAGAGAATAGATAGATAACTGTATTGCTGTTGCGGTTCGATATAGCGCGACTCGGGCAACTGCTCTGTAACGAGTCAGTTGTGTGTCCTTAACTGTCGCGCTGTAATTGTCGAGTCAAAGGTCAGCGACCTTTGACTTTCTCGTAACCTCCAGGCGGTTACTCTAACCTCCGAGGTTGACTCGATGCTTCGATTGGGACTGCTTCGCTTGGTACCTTGGATTTTGATACGACAGAAGCGTACTTAGGACTTATTGTTTCCAACACTCCCCTTCGCTTTTGGAGTGTTACTGCTGGTGACGTGGCCTTGTCCAGTCACCATCATGCAGTATTCGAACTTCTGCTTGCCGAGTTTCTTGGTCAAGTAATCGGCTGCCATCTCGGATGTTGGACAGTATGACAGATCGAGTTTCCCTTTTTCTATCTCGTCCTTCACGAAGAAATAGCGCAGGGCGATGTGTTTCGTCCTGTTTGCGAAGCCGTTTTTGTTGGCGATGCGAATTGCTGACTGGTTGTCGCAGAACACGGTGAAGCTGGGTAACTCGGCTAGCTTCGCTTCTTCCAGTAGTTCGCGAAGGTAAAGTCCCTCCTTGGTGGCTGAGCAGAGTGCAATATATTCTGCTTCTGCTGAAGATAGTGTGATTAACTCTTGCTTGCTCGACTGCCAGGAGATAGGACCGATAGGCTCAAGGCGGTAGACATAGCCGGTGCGTGAGCGCCTGTTGTCGGTGTCGCCGGCGTGATCGGCGTCGACGTAGCCGATTAGCTTAGTCGGTGTAGCTGCGCTCTTGTGGTAGGTTAGCCCGATCGTCGCGGTGCTGACGAAGTAGTGGAGAGCGCGATCAAGTTCCGCCAGGTGTTCAGCTTCAGGCTTCTTGAGATAGGTGGCGAGCTGACTTGCGGAGTAGGATAAGTCAGGACGGCAGGTGACGGCGGCGAATAGCAGGCATCCGAGCTTCTTCTGATAGTCGCGTATGCCGGCGGGCTTGAGTAGAGTAGTTCGTTCCTTCTCGGTTCCTGATGTGTAGCGGTAAGGCGTGGAGATGGCGCTTGGTGTGAGGCTGAACCGTTTCGCGATGGTGTCGGCGTATTTCTCGGCGCTTAGATAGATGGCGTTTTCTTCTTCGCGGATGTTGAGCCCGAGGTACTGTGTAACGGTGGAGGAGACCGTGAGCGTGAGGTCTTTCTGGAGCTCTCCTTCGAACCACGTGGCGATGCCGTCGGTTGACCCAATGTAGAGAAGATCGTCCACGTAGACGATCAGGAGAACGTAGTCGCTTCCCTTAGTGAGGCGGTACATGCCTTGGTCGTGAGGTAGTTGACTAAAGCCGATGCGGATGAGACGGGCGTGCAGGTACTGCTGCCACAGTCGCGGTGCCTGCTTGATCCCGTAGAGCGACTTAAGTAGTTGACAGATTCGGTTGGGTTCGCCGTGGGAACCGTGCGGGAGCTCGACGTAGATTTCTGCATCCACAGGTGCGTAGAGGAAGGCATTCGCGACGTCGATCTGCCGTAACTTCTTCTTCTTCATGGCGGCAATGGCGAGGAGAATTCGGAGTGACGTGTGGCGGGTGACTGGAGCAAAGGTCTCGGTGAAGTCTCGTCCTTGCTCTTGGTCGAATCCACGTACGACCCAGCGTGCTTTGAATTTTTCGATCGTGCCGTCTGCTTTCGTCTTGATGCGGAAGACCCATTTCCCGGTAAGGATGGTTTTGTTCCGTGCCACGCTTACGGGAACAACCTTCCAAGTGTTGCGTTCCTCTAATGCCTTCAGTTCTCTATCCATGGCTTCACGCCATTTCTCCCTGTGTTCCCCCCCCAGAGCCTGCTGAACCGTTGCAGGCTCCTTAGGAAGCGAGCTGCGTGTGTTCCCGTGGACTGCGGTGACGAGGCCGAGGATTTGCAGCCCAGTCTGTGAGTATCGAGGGAGTTCTGGATCCTCGGGATAAGCTGCTTCGTCTCCCGCTTCTGGATCAGGGATGAAATTCGGTCCTATCCTTTCTGCTTCATTTGTGTTGACGGTTGCAGGTGTTACGTAACCGGTGTCGGCGAAGTGGTAGAAGACTTCGGCATTGTTACTGTCGCGAGGATTTTCTTCGTCCATGGGCACGTTGACGGAGCAGTACGGGAGAGGTCCGGCTTCTGCCGATGCGTTGTCAACATTCTGCTCGTCCCAGTCTGCTTCATCCGCTGCTGACGCGAAGGCTCGGTCACCACGAAAACCACTGGTGAGGTCCCGATTCTCGTGCAAGTTGGCGAGGTACGTCTGAAGGGTGAGTCTTTCGTAGAAGATCACGTCACGTGCTGCTACTGTTTCCTTTGTGTGGACGTCGAAGATTCTCCATGCGTTGTAATTTTTCTCGATGCCGAGGTGTAGTCCCCACTGTGCCCGTTGCGAAAATCTTCCCGCTCGTGCTTCTGGGGGTCTGTACTGTACCATGCACCCGAAAACTCGTAACATTTTCGTGCTGCCCTGCTTCCCTGTCCACAGCAGATGCGGTGATGCGTTGTTCGGGAGTGACGACGACGACAACAAGTTGTGCAGCATGACAGCGTGGTCCATTGCTGCTGGCCACTGGTGGTTGGGTAGCCGCATGCCACGTAACAGTTTGCGCATGCTGTTCTGCAGGGTCCTGTTCAGTCGTTCTGCAACACCTTGCTGCTGATGTGCGTAGGGAAGGGAGAGGAGTTGCTTGATCCCCCTTTCCGCCAAGAACTGCTTGAAGCGGTGAGAGGTGTACTCGCCACCTCCGTCTGACTGGAAATTTTTCAGTTGTGTTCCAGACTCTCTCTCTGCTATCGGTAGCCAGGCGGCGAATGCTGCGAGCGCCATGTCGCGGCTGGGTAGGTTGCGATGCCAGACGTATCGAGTGGCGGCGTCGATGAAGGTGATGGTGTAGTTGTAGTTGACTTGTCCTGGTTCGCGATTGTAGAGGATGTCGCTGTAGACTTTTTCGAGTGGTGCGTACGCTGGAGCGCTCGGGTTGTGATGTGAAGCAAACGGTCGATGAGGTAAGTCAGCTTCGGGACATATAAGGCAAGTCCCTCGTGCCTTCTGGAGTTCTCTGCCATCGGGTAGAAGTAGAGAGTCTTTGTCGAGGACTCCTGCTCTTATCGTGTTATTCAAAACCGTGTTGCTTGGATGTCCTGTGCGTGCGTGCCAGATCTCTTCAGAGGCGCGGTGTCCAGGTGAACGCTGATATGCGTCGGAGTTGGAGTAAAAGCTGGCGACGAGGTTGGCGCTTCGGTGGACTTCACGTTGAGTCGGATTCAGCTGTTGCGCGGGTGTTGGTGGTGCTTCGTCGACTGTGACTGGTGTCGTTGTTTCTGCTGCTGCTGATGTTGTTGCTGCTGCCGATGTTGTTACTGCTGCCGATGTTGTTGCTGCTGATGCCGATGTTGTTACTGCTGCCGATGTTGTTATAATTGCTGTGTCGTCGTTGAGTGTGGAATGCGAACTCTGATACTGTCGTTTTCTTCCTGTGTCGTTCTTCCTGCAGGTCCATATCTTGCTGCTCGGCATGTATTTCGGCGCAGAGTGCAGCTTCAGAGATTCTTCCGTGGGCTCGAAGAATGGCCTTGGTGGCGCGCCACTGAGGACCAAGCCCACCAATGATGATTGTCACGAAGGCGTCTTCAGAGATTGACCCTCCGCATCGAAGCAGCTTGTCGCGCAGTTCGCGACATCGGCTGATATACGCCAGTCCTTTTTCTCCTGGTTTCATTTCGACTGTCGTCAACTGCGCCATTAACCTGCTCTGGTTTACACTGTCTGTTGCTTGATACAGGTTCTTCAGATGGCTGTACGCGAGCTCCGCCGAGTTGCCGAAGGTCCGGTAAGAGCGAATGTTCTGCTGCTGAGTTGGTGTCACGTTCCTCAATAGGATTGTATACGCCATCATTGATTGATACGTATACTGCTGCTTTTCATATTGTGTCCCGTTGGCTGGATACTGCAAGGACCCGTCGAAGAAGCCGAGTATCTGCGCGCCCTCCATCATCAGCTCGAATTCAAAGGACCAGGTAAAGAAGTCTTTGCCGTCGAAGGGTCTTGACGTTTGCAGTTTTAAGACGTGTGCAAACTGCGACTGAACTTGAAGTGCGTCCAGTGGTCTTTCTTGTCCAGGTGAAGGTTGCGGGTGGGGCACGAAGCTGATTGACCCGCGCTCGTACGGAGCAAAGGTGGGTTGCTGCTGCTGGTTTCCTCGCGCATATGACGACCCATCAAGACTCATGGGTGTCGCTCCGTTGTTGCTGTTGTGTGTTTGTGCAGGTCCCGACTGCTGGTGTTGTTCGTAGAAGGACATGAAGGAGAAAAATTTCTCCATCATGTTCTGGTCAAAGTCCGAAGGGTGGTTCATGGGGGTCTCGGTTGACGTTCCTCTTGGTCTTGTTGCCGTGCCTTCTTCTGTCTGCAGGCCAGAGGCTGGCGGTGGAGTAGGAGTAGTGCCCGAGGAGCCATTAGGGGAGCTCCTTTCCTTGTTTGTTGCCATGTATTGTAATGATCTTGAAAAAAAGAGTAGAGTTTCCCTTGTCCGCTCTCATACCATGTTGGGCTGAGATAGCCCCTTAGGATCTTTGCAAGGGATAACTCTAGGTGAAGTAGTTGTAATAGCGGAAGCGTTTAGTGAAGAATTTGAACCGACCTTGCACTGGTGTGTGAGAGCAAAGTTGATTTGAATTAAACAAGCAAATACAAGGATTTATATAAGAGTACAGAGAATAGATAGATAACTGTATTGCTGTTGCGGTTCGATATAGCGCGACTCGGGCAACTGCTCTGTAACGAGTCAGTTGTGTGTCCTTAACTGTCGCGCTGTAATTGTCGAGTCAAAGGTCAGCGACCTTTGACTTTCTCGTAACCTCCAGGCGGTTACCCTAACCTCCGAGGTTGACTCGATGCTTCGATTGGGACTGCTTCGCTTGGTACCTTGGATTTTGATACGACAGAAGCGTACTTAGGACTTATTGTTTCCAACATCAATAAGGCTAGGAAGCATCTCGAGTTTCAGGATATCGCAGAAATCGCCGTTGATGCTCGTCTTCATGGCTCATACGAATTCCGCAGAACCACTCGCAGCCGCATTCTCAGTTCAGCGGCTATTCGCTGCCAATATTATGAGCCGAGCACTACCAGATTAGTATTTGTCAGTTCGCTCGCATTTATGGTTGCCAGTTTATCTACGCAGCGTTCCAAATTTCGCTCCGAAGATTAGGTCCGAGCTCACGAGTACCCAATCCTTAGCCCTGATGCTTTAGCCGCCTGATTCAGAACGCAAGATACCGAATTGAATCTGTAAGTCTGGCCTTCACCTTTCGAGAATGCTTCAACACGCAGTTGCGCATCTCTTCTTCTTGAGAAGACCATATGCCTCGCTGAATCTGACGACGAGTAGACCGGGAAACGGAGGAAAACTGTGTTGTTTCACTCACGGCGCTCTTTATTGGGATCGCACTTTTTGTTCCCTCAATTTTCAGCGTCAGAAACGCGAGGCGACATGATCAAGGCCGTGCTGATCATCAACAATCAAGGGAAGGCTCGTTTCGCACGCTTCTACGCGAACATCGTAAGCCCGTCGCGAATGTCGTAGGCCTGTCGCAAACGCCGTCATCAGCGTCTTGCCATACTGTTTTTATGAGCCACAAACCTAGAGTTGCTTTCTCCACAGTTTAATCTCAATCCAGCGTGTGACTGGATTCGTGCTTTACCCTGCAGAGCGGGGAGAGGCAGCAACATATAATCCGGCACTCGTTTGAAGGTCAGTTGCGACTTCTTTCTAGTGACAGAAACCATAATTGGGCCCACAAGAGCACCAGGCCCAGTCCTTCTTTCCCTGTGTGACTGATTCAGCGATCCCTTACGTTCTGTAGTGAGTCTCGAGCTCAGCAGTTCTGCTGCTTTCCATAGCGGTCTTAATTTCTCTCTTACTCCGTTTTCTTTCGTGCTCACTCGTTTTTTTTCGTTTCTTACTCCTGTTTTTGTTCTCGGTCGTCTAATCCCCCTCCTGATATTTGTACCCCAGCTGTGGCCTCTCGCCCACCCACTTGGTCTAATATCATTGAGGACTCCAGCAGGTTCGGCAAGGTGAGAGCGGCTCAAGCAGGTTATGTAAGGTGAGAGCAGCTGGAAGCAGGTTCGGCAAGGTGAGAATGGCTCAAGCAGGTTCGGCAAGGTGAGAGTGGCCGAAGCAGGTTAGGCAAAGTGAGAGTAGCTGAATAGGGTTCAGCAAAGTGAGAAAGAGTGGCAAAGCAGGTTCGACAAGGAGAGAACCGCCGAAGCCAGTTTAGCACAGCACAGCGAGAATGAGCAGATGAAGTTATGATACCGTTATTTTGCTGCACAGATTCGGCAACATGAGCCACTTTTGCAATGAACGTGTGTGTGCATGGCTGCTGCGTGGAATAGTTGGCATGGGGTTGTAGGTTTGCAGGACCAGGGGTTAGTTTGGCAATTGGTCCTGAAGTGCTAGATGGGATGGGATGAGCTGAGAATGAGCTGGCTGCTGAGAGTGCTAGTGCCACTGCTCTCTCAGTCGTGCTAGACGCCCCCCCACCCATCTGTATCGCAGAACATCAAGCTGGTGTACCGCACGTTCGCTACGCTCTACTTCATCTTCCTCATTGACAGAGCCGAGAACGAGCTGGCTGTGCTGGACCTTATCCATGGTGAGTAAGGCTCTTCACCCCCCAGGCTCCTCTTGGCCGCCCAGGCTCCTCTTGGCCGCCCAGGCTCCTCTTGGCCGCCCAGGCTCCTCTTGGCCGCCCAGGCTCCTCTTGGCCGCCCAGGCTCCTCTTGGCCGCCCAGGCTCCTCTTATGAGGCGCCTCTCAATCAGACAGAGCAGAGAACGAGCTGGCTGTGCTGGACTGGACCTCATTCATGGTAAGGCCCTTTCTTTCTTCATCCCCCGGGCTCCTCGTTGGGGCGCTTTAGAAACGACTTTCACGCTCTACTTCATCTTCCTCATTGTCAGGGCTGCGAACGAGCTGGCTGTGCTGGACCTCATTCACGGTGAGTGAGGCTCTTTCTATAAGGCCCTTCACCACCCAGGCCCCTCTCTTGAGCTGACTCACAAACAGAGCTGAGAACGAGCATGTCGTGTTAGCCCTCACTCATGGTAGGGTTCTGGGTCTACAGTCATGCCCCCTCACTCCCTCTCTCATCCCCCTGTGTCTTCCCTGCCGATTTTTCCCATCCTCCACTTATGTATATGCAGTGTTTGTGGAGTCGTCCCGTTGGATCGCTTCTACAATAACGCGTGTCGAGTGTGCACCCAGCTTTCCTGACCTCCCTGAACCTCTTAACTCCTCTTGTGCTATTGTGTGCATGCAGTGTTTGTGGAGTCGTTGGATCGCTGCTACAAGAACGTGTGTGAGCTGGACATAGTCTTCAACTTCACCAAGGTAGGTACCACCCGAGCATGATGCCACTACCTTTTGTTTTGTTCTGTTTTTTCTCCTCTTCTTCTTCTTCTTTCCTTTTTCTCGCAATCACAGCCTTGCAAGTTGCTGCCAAGCGTAACGGCATATAAATCATGGCGACTGTGTAGTATACTGTACGATCAGTCTGTGTGGGATGTCATTCGAATAAGCCTGATCCCGTTTTTGCTCCCTGCCGACATGGTTGTGCGTGCAGGTGCATCAGATTCTGAACGAGATTGTGATTGGAGGGCAGGTGCTAGAGGTGACAGTGGATGAGGTGCATCGAGCCGTGCAGGAGATAGAGAGGTGAGTATAACGGTTGGGTATAGGGTGTGTAGTTAGGGAAAACGGGGAGTGCCAGGCGTCACATAAATGCTGGAGGTGACAGTGGACGAAGTGCAGGAGATAGAGAGGTGAGAGAGAGAGGGGGAGAGCATTGAGTGAGCGACTGGTTCTCAACACTCACAAGAGAAAGTGCAAGAGGAACACGGGCTGGTTGGCATTGGAGAAGGATTGAAAGGATGCTCGGTACACATTGAAGGGATGCTATTGAAAGGATGCTCGGTACACATTGAAGGGATGCTATTGAAGGGATGCTCGGTACACATTGAATGGATGCTCGGTACACATTGAAGGGATGCTCGGTACACATTGAAGGGATGCTCAGTACACCGTACATGTGTGCTGGTGGTTTGTTTTGTTACTTTCCGAGTGATCCAAAAGTCACGAGGGCTTGAACAGGTGTTCAGTGCTTGTGCGTGTATGTTTTTGTTTTACACATCACCAATGCAGCTGTACCTGTATGTGACTGCACACCTCGCTGAGTTCATTATCCTCCTCTTGCCTTTCATTCACCCGCTCCCTCCCTCCCTGGAGCACAAGCCAGACACACCAGCAACGCAGCTGCACCTAAAGGTCGCCCCAGCCATGTGTGCGCACTCCTCCAAGTTGATCCATTATTTTTTTAGACGTCTCAAAAGAGTTTTGGGACGTGCTTTGAGACGTCTCAAAACGCAGCTGCACCTAAGGGGCGCCCCAGCCATGTGTGCACAGCACACTCCTCCGAGCTGATTTCTTCTCATTCTGCCTTGCGTTCACCTCCTCCCTCCCTGCCTCACAGGCTTGAGCGGAAGCCAGACACGCCAGCAACACAGCTGCGGCCCAGGGGCGCTCCTCTGCTCTCCTGATTCATTGCTGAAGGGGCATATCTTGTTGACCCCTCTGCCCCGGCTCTCGCAAGAATTATGACTTGCCTATTCAAGACAGCAGTGCCTGGATTCTGGGAGACAATCTGGTGATTTGTGTGAAGGCAAAATCTGAGCCTCACGGTAATTAGAATGGCTCAAACACTCATATTTTCGAACATTGATTCTGTTTGATCAGCAGGCGTTGGGCACAGTGAATTAGTAATAACGGTAGGCAGAGCGGATGATAAATTTAGTTCGCTCTGTGATATTTACACATCAGCCTTAAAACCCGCGTCTCATATTTCCTCTTTCCAACCAAGAGTAATACGCTCGAAATCGGGTAACCTCACAAGTCATTCGGAACTTTGTTGGGTTTGGTTGGGAGCACCTGTGATTGGTTGCAACCCCATCAGGTTGGCGAAGGGTGACGCACGACTACCCAACCATATTTGCGAGGAACACACCACCTTGTGCGACGACGTTAGGGAACACAAAGGCCCTGTTCGCCACGCCTTTGCTGGGCCTTCAGAGGGATGGGCGGGGGGTCTGGAATCCGCCCTGCACCTTCGAAAAGGGGTGAAATCAGGGTTTTAGGGCCGGTCAGACCGACAAAATCCTGTCGAGCCTGACGATCCCCTCCGAACCTCGGAGGGCTCGCTGTCGTGGCGAACACCCACTTTCCTGGGCCATCGAAGGGATGGGCGGGGGATCCAGAATGCGCCTGGCAGTTTCCTGTCCTGCCAGCTCGGAACCCCATCCCCTCCATCGACTCTCCCTCGTGCAGACCACCAATTTCGTAGGCGCCTAACGGGATGGCCGGGGGATTTGAGGGCAGGGTAAACGCCAACGTGTCACCAGAACCGGCCCGGAACAACAAATTTTCGCCCTCCCGAGTGATAAGACAGCTGCTTCAAGTTCACGGAACCCTAAACGCAACTGTGAAGGACCTTTTCTTTTTTCGACACTTTTTACCCGGGCTGATTTGTTTCTTTTTTTCTCTGGTTGTGGATCAGAGGCGGGAAAAAAAGTCCCGCCCTAAACGAAGGTGGGGGGGGAGGTGCCAGATCCCCTTGGCCCCCTTCCGGATCCCTTTGGAGAAATTTCCATTCGGGGCGAGCCCCCGGACGTAGTTCGCATCTTCCGGCGCACCTTCTGGAGCTCTTGCCCATCCCCCGCCCCTTGCCTATATCGTGGTCGTGGCGAACAGGGCCAAAGAAGCAAGCGTATTACCACAGCAGAAAAATATGAGACTGCAAACCCAGACAGGTGGTAGGTGGCGGAGGACCGATTTCTCAAGCGACTAAGTCTTATTTCAGCATCTTCTTTCCCCTGATTTTTTTCGAGCGTCAAACGTGACAAAACGCAATACTTCTCGTTGGTCACTCCGCGCCTGCTTTTACTTTTACGCACGTACAGTCCGTCCATCGCCAGAGCTGGTCCTCATTATTGCAGTAAGATGCAACACTCTATTTGGACCAAGGTGTACGGCAGTAACGCTCCCCCCTGTCGAATTTGGACGGAAGGGACACGACGGAAAGGCAGCAGTTAGGACGAGGTAGGAAGCGACGCGACGGAAAGGCAGCATTTAGGACGAGGTAGTAAGCGACGCGACGGAAAGGCGAGGGTTAGGACGAGATAGGAAGCGACGCGACGGAAAGGCGAGGGTCAGGACTAGATAAACAGCGACGCGACATTACAGGAAGCGACGCGACATGGCTGGAAGCGAAGAGATACTGTGTTATAGTTATTTTACCTCATATTAGTATTCACTAATGTAGGCTTGACTCTAGCGAATACGTAGCGGAGGTTCTCGCGTCAGTGGGTTCGGCGTACATTTTCGTTCCGAACCACTTCCGAGTCGCCACCGCACATTCCGCCACCTTTCCGAGCCTCGTTTACCCCGAGGTTCTCGCCTCGAATCTGCCTATTTTTAACCTCGTTATTCTTCCATTCAGTACTATCTCATTCTTTCTGCCCACGCCTTAGTGATGTACTTATCATAAAATGGCACATCAACTTTCCAACAAGTACCTCTTTATGCGTTAGTAAGCACCTCGCTGACACTGCGAGGGTTGGCTGTGGTAATTCTGTTGCTTAGTGCGACATTAGCGGGGAAACTTAAATGGATGATGCTGGAATGAACGGTAACGGGGGAGTTGAGATGAACGGTCAGGATGAACGTATGGCTGACGTCAACGGCTTAGATGCAGCTGAAACAAGGAAAGCGGAGATAGAACCTGCTCGTAGAGGCGCTGGCGAAATTGACCCAGGTAACACTGGCGAAACGGGTCCTATTAACGCTGGCGAAATGGACCCTAGTAACACCGGCGAACCTGACCCGGGTAGCATTGCAGTGCTGAAAACAGTTGACGAAAGCGTCAGGACGGCGCGCGAGGCTGAAACGAAGGGGGGTGACGAAACTAGGGACGACGGGAGGATCGAGGCAGGAGCGGAAGCAGAACGAGGTGAGAGGAAATCAGCGGGAAGAAGGGGAGAAGAGAGGGAAGCTGGGGAAGAGAAGGGGAGTGAGGAGAGGCAGGGCGAAGGCACTCCTAGGAGAGACGCTGGGGTTGAAGGACAAGAGGAAGGGACGCAGCAGCAGGAAGGAGAGCAGCAGGTGGAAGGAGAGCAGCAGGAGAAAGACAAAAAGCAGGTCCAAGAGGAGGAGGAGAAGGAGGAGCAGGAGGAGCAGGAGGAGCAGGAGGGGCAGGAGCAGGAAGAGGATGAGGATGAGGAGGAAGAGAAAGAAAAGCAGCAGCTAGTGGGCGCTAGGGAGAGCAGTAGGAAGGGCGACAGGGACGGCGGCGGTGGCAGCGGAGTGAAGCGGGGGCTGCGGTCAGTGATGGCAGGGCGTTTCCAACATTACTCGGCACTCAAGAGCAAGCGCCGGCGACGACTGGAACAGAGGAGCTTCCAGGAGTTCTTCCTCGCGGGGGGGGGAGGGGGAGGAGGCGGGGGAGGGGGAAGAAGAGAGGGAGAGGGGGGATGCGGAGGGGTTGGGTGGGGGAGAGGGGGATGGGGAGTTAATGGGAGATGGGGAGGGGGATGGAGAGAAGGAAGCGGAAGGGGAGGAGGATGAGGTTGGTGTTGCTGTGGGGGAGGATGAAGGGGATGGGGACGGGGGGAGTGAGAGTGATGGGGTGGAGGAGGTAGAGCAGGAGGAGGAGGGAGAGGAGGGCGAGGGGGAGGAGGAGGAGAAGGAGGAGGAGATGAAAGAAAGCGGAGCTCTAGAGGGGGAGAGGAAAGAGGAAGGGGACGAGGAAGGCCGGGTGGAGGAAGAGAGGGACGGGATGGTTGAGGTAGCTGATACGGGTTTGGGAACAGCAGGGAGTGGAGCGGATAAGCTAAGAGGCTCCCTGAAAGCCGTGGTGGGGAAGAGGGAGGAGAAAAGGCGAGAGAGGGAAGGGAAGGCACAGCCGATCGTGGAGGAGGAGAAAGGCGAGGGGCAGAGGACGCTGAGAAGGAGAGAGCAACCGAAACGAACCCAGCAGAGCACGCAACGGCAGCAGCAGCAGCAGCAGCAGCAGCAGCAGCAGCAGCAGCAGCAACAGCAGCAGCCACAGAAGCAGCAGAGGCGGCAGGGGAAGAAGCAGACGGGTAAAGCGAAACAGGCAGCAGCGGCGAAAGCAAAGGCAGGGCGAGCAGCAGCAGCGAAGGCAAAGCGGGAGGCGGAGAGGCAGGAGGAGCACGATGCAGAGGTGGCACGGGCGGTAGGGTTCCCTCCGGATGGGCTGAGGGAGGACGAGGAGGAGGCGGGTGTGGTTCGCAGTGGCACGAGTGGGGAGGAGGGCGTGTATGTGCGCATGCGGAATCGGATTTTGGCGCTTTGGAGGCGGAATGTGAACGGGTGGATACATGAAGACAAGGTGGGTAGGGTGAGGGGGATGCAGTAGGGATTGGGAAGAGGGAGTGCGGAAGAGAGCGTGTGTATGTATGTATGTGCGCATGAATGGGGCGGTGGGGTTCCCCCCTGACCCCCGGATGGTCTGAGGGAGGACGAGGAGGAGGCTGGTGTGGTGCGAAGTGGCACGAGCGGGGAAGAGAGCGTGTATGTGCGCATGCGGAACCGTGTCCTGGCGCTGTGGAGACGGAATGAGGATGGGTGAATACACGAAGACAAGGTAGGGAAGGAGGAGAGTGAGAGAAAGTGGGGGGTGAGGTGAGGTGTGGGATGGGGAAGAGCGCATGTGTATGTGCGCATGAATGGGGCGGTGGGGTGGGGTTCCCCTCTGGTCCCTGGACGATCTGAGGGAGGACGAGGAGACGCGTGTAGTGCGCAGGCACGGGGAGCATGGGGAAGAGGGCGTGTTTGGGCACCATCAACAGGAAACTCTTTATCTCTTTTGCATGCCTCCAGGGTAGACATGAGCAGCGAGCCAAGTTCTTACTCGACTCGACTCGACTGTGATGAGTCCAGTCCAGTCGAGTCGAATCACCTCACCAGTTTTTACGATGCATCGAGTGACTTGACGGTTTCTAGTCGAGTCAGCCCTGCATCGGCGAGTCATTGACTCGTGTCGAGTCAAGCTACTCAACTCGACACGTGGCTCGTAACGAGTCAGGAGACTCGTGACTCGTGCCGAGTCGAGTGGGTCAGTGGTCTGTTTCAGGTCGCAACAAGCCAATTGAGCCGTGACACAAATGGTTGTTCAACAATTCTCAAACTCATTAATCGGGGCCTCTCTCGCACTCCGTCCCCTCTTTCTTTCTTCCTGTGCAGTTAGTAAGCAGCACACCGGCACACGAGCGAGAGGCCACAAGAGCAGCCTTCAGCTTTCTCCATCTGCGTGGTTTCATCAACTGGGGCCTGTCGCGTACCGCCACATCCGCCATCCCTCGCCGCCCCTCCCTGCCCCACGTCATTGTCCTCGGTGCTGGCCTCGCAGGCCTTGCAGCAGCGCGGCAGTTGATGGTTCTCGGGCATCGGTGAGTGCTGTGGGTGAGTGGGTATTTCGAGCCGCCCCTCCCTGCCCTGCCCCACGTCATCGTGCTCGGCGCTGGCCTTGCAGGCCTTGCAGCAGCGCGCCAACTACTAGCCCTGGGCCACCGGCGAGTGCTGCGGCCGGCTGAGTGCGGTTTTGAGGCCAGCTATGTTGATGTAACATCAAAAGTATGTTGAGAATTGTCAAAAGTAACATCAACATAATCCGTAAGTGCTGCTTCTTGAGAGTTCTCAAAAGTAACAACAACATAACCGGTGAGTGCTGCGGCCGGCTGAGTACGAATTTGAGGCGCTTAAAACTAACAATAATTCGGGCCTCTCTCGCACGGTCGTCAGCCACTGCGGCCATTCCTCGGCCATTCCGCGGCCATTCCTCGGCCATTCCGCGGCCATTCCTCGGCCATTCCTCGGCCATTCCTCGGCCATTCCTCGGCCATTCCTCGGCCATTCCTCGGCCATTCCACGGCCATTCCTCGGCCATTCCTCGGCCATTCCTCGGCCATTCCTCGGCCATTCCTCGGCCATTCCTCGGCCATTCCTCGGCCATTCCGCGGCCATTCCTCGGCCACTGTAAAAGCTCGCAACCGGCACTCTTATCTTGGATGCTCTCTTTCTCCCCCCTGCCTTCTTGCCCTGTCTACCGCCTGATCTGTTCCCATAAAAGTGACAGTGATAGAGGCGCACAAGAAACCAATCCTCATGTCTAACATTTCTGTCTCTCTTATCGTCTTCCTCTGATCTATTCCCATCAGGGTGACAGTGATAGAGGCTCGCAACCGCCCCGGAGGGCGAATGCACTCCAAGCTGCTCTCCTCGCCTCCAGGCCCCAACCAGGTGGGTCAACATGTGGTGACATAGTGGTGACATAGTGGTGACATAGTGGTGACATAGTGGTGACATGGTGGTGACATAGTGGTGACATAGTGGTGACATAATGGTGACATAGTGGTGACATAGTGGTGACATAGTGGTGACATTCGATTTCTGAGGTACCTTGGAACATTCCAAGCTGCTCTCCTCGCCTCCAGGCCCCAACCAGGTGGGGCAGTAGGTGGTGCAGATGGCATGCGGTGCAGGTGACATGTGTGGGATGCGGGCGTAAAGTGGGTGGGTGGCAAGCAGGTGGACCACGGAACTATGTTTTTTCGATTGGAGTGAGCGCAGAGACATGGTACCTTTGCACCACACTCATTATCCCCACCCCATCCTCTTCTTCGCGCTTTCCCCTCTCCCAGGTAGCAGTGGCAGCGTTTTTTGAGGCGCCTCAAAACTCTTCTTCGCGCTTTCCCCTCTCCCAGGTAGCAGTGGCAGCGGAACTGGGTGGTTCGATTCGATCGTCACCAGCATCCTCAGCAACCCTTTGAGCGTCCTAGCTCGTCAACTCCCCATCCCTCTGCACCGCTTTCATTAACCTCCCAACCCTGCTCTCCCATTTTCACCATGTCTCTCCTCTTCCCTCTCCCTGCTCTCCCCCCAGGTAGCAGTGGCAGCAGAGCTGGGCGGATCGATCGTCACTGGCATCCTCGGCAACCCTCTGGGAGTCTTGGCCTGCCAGCTCGCAATCCCTCTGCACTACATTCACTACCCCCCAACCTCCCTGCCTTTCCCAACACCCTGTTCCCCCTACGCCCTTCCCTTCCCCTCCCAAGTGGCAGTGGCAGCAGAGCAAGGCGGTTCTATCGTAACAGGCATTCTCAGCAACCCTCTGGGCGTCCTAGCTCGCCAGCTCGCCATCCCTCTGCACCGCTCTGCATCCATTGCGCCTGCTCTCTATCCCCCTCTGTGCCTCCCACCAGGTGGCAGTGGCAGCGGAGCTAGGCGGGTCGATCGTCACAGGCATTCTCGGCAACCCTCTGGGAGTCTTGGCCCGCCAGCTCGCCATCCCTCTGCACCGCATTCGCGACGCCTGCCCGCTCTACCGCCCGGACGGGCTGCCCGTGGACGAAAAAGCTGACCGGGTGGCAGAGGCAAGATTCAACGTGATGCTGGACTTAGCTTCAGAGAGGAGAGCGGAGATGGAGGGGGTAGCAGATCAGATCTCCCTTGGGAATACCATGGAGTTTGTTCGGCAGCAAGCGGTGCAGGCTGTATCTGAGGAAGGTGGAGCAGCCTCGGGAGCAGCAACAGCAGCAGCAGCCGCAGCAACAGCAGCAGCAGAAGCAGCAGCAGCAGCAGCAGCAGTAGCAGCAGGACCACCAGCAGCAGCAGCACAACCAGCCAGAGTCCAAGAAACAGAAGAGGAACAAGAGCTAGTGCAGTGGCACTATGCGAACCTCGAGTTTGCCAACGCAGCCCGTGTAGCGGACCTCTCTCTGGCCTTCTGGGACCAGGACGACCCCCACGAGCTGCTGGGCCACCACTGCTTCGTGGCGGGCGGCAACGGGCAGCTTGTGGATGCCCTGGCGGACGGGCTGCCCGTGGTGTATAACTGTGCGGTGGAGAGGGTTGAGTATGGGATAGGGAGGAGTCGAGAAGGGGACGAGCCGGTTTCAGCAGAGGCAGGAGGGGGAGGAGCAGGAGGTGGAGCAGGAAGAGGAGGAGGCGGGGGAGAGGGGGGAAAGGAAGAGGAAGTGGGAGGGGAGGGGAGAGCGGCGGCGGGGGGAGTGAGGGTGGTGTGTCGGGACACGAGGAGTGGGGAGGAGGTGGAGTATGAGGGGGACCATGTGCTCTGCACGCTGCCGCTGGGAGTGCTGCAGAGGGGGTCCGTGTCCTTCCACCCGCCGCTGCCTCTCAGGAAGACACGTGCCATCCATAGGCTGGGCTTCGGGCTCTTGAATAAGGTTAGGTTCCTGTGAGTGTGGTGTGGTGTGGTGTGGTGTGGTGTGGGGTGGGGTGGTGTGGTGTGGTGTGGGGTGTGGTGTGGGGTGTGGTGTGGTGTGGTGTGGGTTGTGGTGTGGGGTGTGGTGTGGGGTGTGGTGTGGTGTGGTGTGGTGTGTGGTGTGGTGTGGTGTGGGGTGGGGTGGTGTGGTGTGGTGTGGTGTGGTGTGGAGTGGGGTGGGGTGGTGTGTGTGGTGTGGTGTGGTGTGGTGTGGAGTGGGGTGGGTTGGTGTGTGTGGTGTGGTGTGGTGTGGTGTGGCGTGGTGTGATGTGGTGTGGTTGCATGGTGTCAGGCTTGGTGGATGTCGCCACACCACACTTCTCATCACAATTCGCCTCAGAGCTCTTGGAGGGCTATATCCGTGTGACTTTTGAGAATTCTCAAAAGAGAACCTCCATGCCTTTCCACCCGCCCCTGCCTAACAGGAATAACTTCTTCTTTCTAGTACCCTCCCTGTGCCTGCACACTCTCACCCGCATCCCTCCCCTTTCTTTCTCTTTCCCTTGCTCTTCCCCTATGTTTTCTGGGACACCACCATCGACACCTTTGGTTGCCTCAACTCTTCAGCTCATGACACCTTTGGTTACCCTCTCCACATCCCTCTTCTCTCCTGTCTCCTCTTTCCTCCCCATGCAGGTAGCAATGCTCTTCCCGTATGTCTTTTGGGACACCACCATCGACACCTTTGGTCGCCTCACATCGCACCCCTCGCAGCGGGGCGAGTTCTTCCTCTTCTACTCCTACGCTGCTGTCTCGGGCGGCGCGCTGCTCATGGCTCTGGTCGCAGGGGAGGCTGCAGAGAAGTTTGAAGGAGAGAAGTCGGATGCGCTCATGTGGCGGGTGCTGACAGTGCTCAAGAGTGAGTGGGCCGTGCCTATGTTGCGCCTGACGCCCTGGAAGGGCAGCGTCCAGCGTCCGGACGTGAACGTCCGGACGCTGGACGCGTCAAATCGGTTTGACGCTGGACGTTCGGGGAAAAATTTTTCGGGCAGCCCGAAAAAAACATTCTCCCCGCACGAAATTAACTCGCGATCTCATCGCGACCAGCATTGCGATGAGATTGCCAACTGGGGGCCACGTTTTTGACCTACAAAAACGCAACCCTCATTTATTCACCCCCACACATTTGTACCCATCCACATCTACTTCTCCCAACCAGGTCGACACCCAACTAAAATAGAGAACCAGATCTAGGTCGACATTACACAGATCTGTTTCTCTCGACATTGCCAATCATTCCTACTAGGCAACAGTCACGCTACTAAGCCTACCTAGCTAAAATTAGGTTAAGACGATTGGCACATCATGTCAACTTCTAGTCCCGCCGGTCATTCTGTTAGTGCCTCCACACCTTCTGCCGGTGGTGTGGAGGGAGAACGCCAGTACGACGAAATGCCTAAACATCTCGTGTACAAGCATTTTTTTTTTTACGTTAAGGACCCCACCAAAGGCAGAATGGCGAAATGCCGTTATTGCCCAAAAGAGTTCGTTTCCAGTAGCACGCGTTGCACCGCTCATCTTGCTGATTGGGAGGGGAAGAAGAGTCACGACATTACTGTGTGCCCGAATGCGCCAAAAGAGGTAGTAGAGAGCATTCGCACATTGCAGGAGGGGAAATGTAAGAAGCAGTTGGAGAAAAACCGGGCGGAGATGGCGGCCATGGATGCGGTGAGTGGCAAAACCAGCAGCGGGGTGGGTTCTAAGAGAGGGCGCATGTCAGATTTCTATGGGGCGGAGGGGTCAGTGGCTAGGCGGGAGGCGGATGATGCCATATGTCTCTATTTCGCAGCATTGGGTGTTCCCGAAAACCAAGCCGACAACCCTCTTTTCCGCAACATGATAAGGGCAGTTGCAGCAGCGGGTGGTAGCTATGTCCCTCCGAAGAGAAAGTACGTGGGCGGGGCTGGACTGCAGCGGACTCGTAAGAGGATTGAGGAGGGGTTGGATCCCGTGGTTAAGAAGTGGCCGGAGAAAGGAGTCACCATCGCTAGTGACATGATGAGTGACAGGAATGGGCGTGCGCAGGCGAATTTCCTTTGCGTCAACGAAGATGGAGCTGTGTTTATGGAGAGTGTTGACTGCGGGATGGAACGGAAAACAGGCGGTTACATTGCTAGCCTCATCCGGCCAGTCATAACGAAGGTGGGGCCGGGAAATGTCGTTGCACTATGCATGGATGGAGCGAGCAACTATGCAGCCGCGACCCGTGAGATTGTGAAGGAATGGCCGCACATTGAGATTGTGCCGTGCGCAACGCATGTGCTTGACCTCTTTATGGAAGACATAGGGAAGATGGATTGGGCCAAAAAGTTGGTTGAACGAGCGGGGGAGCTGATCACATTCTTGCGCAACCATCATTGGACACGCGCATACCTGAGGGCGGGGGAGCTGCATGGCGAGAAGGTGCTGCAGGCATTGCGACCTGCGGGCACTCGCTTCGGGACACAATACCTTGCCGTGTCTCGACTTTGTGAGTTGCGCCCTCATCTGTCCAGCATGGTCTCCCATGATGTCTTCAAGGACTGGGCTGCAGCTGCAGGTGCTAAGGTGAAGGAGGCAGCAGACAAGTTTGAGAAGTACGTGCTGGATTCTGCGTGGTGGAAGACAGCAGAGTTCTTCAAGAAGCTGCTGCAGCTGCCATATGTCACAATGCGTAAGACAGACTCGACAAAGAAGGGGATGATGGCAAATATGTATGACCTGATGCTACAGTTGACGGAGGAAATGAGTGCATTGCTGGAGGAGGATGAGGAGCAGCTGAGCGACGAGGATAAGGAGAAGATCAGCGATTTTCTGAAGGCTAGATGGGATGATAGCCTTGCATGTGCGCTCCATGTGGCTGGCCGGATTTTTAATCCGGCCAACCAGAAGGAGGGAATCTTTCTTCGGGATAGGGAGTGTACCAAAGTCATGAAGGAGTTCTTAGAGCGTGCGCATGCTTTCTTGGTGAAGTACAAGAGAGGTGGAGCTGGTGGCTTCAAAGAGCTTCAGAAGGGGATGCTTGCCTACATTAACGGTGATGGGAGTTTCGGCACAAAGAGCGCGGTGGAGGCTCGGGAGGAGATTCGGGCTGGGAAGGGGGATCTGCTAAGCTGGTGGCAGTGGCATGGATGCGACTACCCCGAGCTAGCTGACATTGCGCGCCGTACCCTTGCGCAGCCCGTGTCGGCCTCCTCGTGCGAGCGGAATTGGGCTAAGTGGGAGGGAGTGCACACGGCTCGCCGGAACCGGCTAGGGTCGGAGAAATGCCGCGACTTGGTGTACGTGGCCCACAACTGGCTGGTGGTGCATAGTGCACACAAGCGACCTGAGATGGAGGGGGCCGGGATAATTGAGGGTAACAAGCCAGACCCCCCGGTCCCGGAGGGATACATTCTGCAGGAGGAGGTGGATGAGGAGGAGGAGGAGGAAGAAGACAAGCTGCTGGCTGATGAATATGTGGCAACCCCCCCTCTTCCCTAGGTTATGCATGTGAGAAGAGGAGTATTTAACTTGTGTGTGAGATTAGGAGATTTTTAGGATTTTCTGGATTTGATAGAGTATTTATGACTGTAGGTGACAAATGTGAACTTCTTGCATTCAAACCCTTGCGTATCCTTACTAGGCAGGTTTTTTTACCCCTGCCCGGAAATTTTTTTTGCCCTGCCCGGACTGGCGTCAAGCGGGCGTCAAGGGCAGAGGGCCCTGGGCGTCAAGCGTCTGGACGCCCCGTCCAGACGCCAGCGTCAAAAACGCCTGACGCGTCAGGCGCAACATAGGGCCGTGCTGCTCAAATACCATTTGGGGTTCGATTTTGAGTCGACTCAAAATGCAAGTGGGACTCCTTTTCCATGGAGTTGAGCTGAGTAGCTTTAGGCGAGTCCTTTGTTTTCTACTCCTTCGCTGCTGTCTCGGGCGGCGCGCTGCTCATGGCGCTCGTTGCGTTGCGGGGGGGGGGGAGGCGGCTGAGAAGTTTGAGGGGGAGAAGTCGGATGCTCTCATGTGGCGGGTGCTGACGGTGCTCAAGAGTGAGTGCATCGCCTAGTCCCCCTCCCTCATTTCTCTTGCGCCACCTGGGTTTGAGAGTTGAAGCAAGTGCGTCGAAGGGGAGAAGTCAGATGCGCTCATGTGGCGCGTTCTGACTGTGCTCAAGAGTGAGTGGGCCCTTTTCCTCATGTGGCGCGTGCTGACTGTGCTCAAGAGTGAGTGGGCCCTGTTCCTCATGTGGCGCGTGCTGACGGCGCTCAAGAGTGAGTGGGCCCTGTTCCTCATGTGGCGCGTGCTGACGGCGCTCAAGAGTGAGTGGGCCCTGTTCCTCATGTGGCGCGTGCTGACGGCGCTCAAGAGTGAGTGGGCCCTGTTCCTCATGTGGCGCGTGCTGACGGCGCTCAAGAGTGAGTGGGCCCTGTTCCTCATGTGGCGCGTGCTGACGGCGCTCAAGAGTGAGTGGGCCCTGTTCCTCATGTGGCGCGTGCTGACGGCGCTCAAGAGTGAGTGGGCCCTGTTCCTCATGTGGCGCGTGCTGACGGCGCTCAAGAGTGAGTGGGCCCTGTTCCTCATGTGGCGCGTGCTGACGGCGCTCAAGAGTGAGTGGGCCCTGTTCCTCATGTGGCGCGTGCTGACGGCGCTCAAGAGTGAGTGGGCCCTGTTCCTCATGTGGCGCGTGCTGACGGCGCTCAAGAGTGAGTGGGCCCTGTTCCTCATGTGGCGCGTGCTGACGGCGCTCAAGAGTGAGTGGGCCCTGTTCCTCATGTGGCGCGTGCTGACGGCGCTCAAGAGTGAGTGGGCCCTGTTCCTCATGTGGCGCGTGCTGACGGCGCTCAAGAGTGAGTGGGCCCTGTTCCTCATGTGGCGCGTGCTGACGGCGCTCAAGAGTGAGTGGGCCCTGTTCCTCATGTGGCGCGTGCTGACGGCGCTCAAGAGTGAGTGGGCCCTGTTCCTCATGTGGCGCGTGCTGACGGCGCTCAAGAGTGAGTGGGCCCTGTTCCTCATGTGGCGCGTGCTGACGGCGCTCAAGAGTGAGTGGGCCCTGTTCCTCATGTGGCGCGTGCTGACGGCGCTCAAGAGTGAGTGGGCCCTGTTCCTCATGTGGCGCGTGCTGACGGCGCTCAAGAGTGAGTGGGCCCTGTTCCTCATGTGGCGCGTGCTGACGGCGCTCAAGAGTGAGTGGGCCCTGTTCCTCATGTGGCGCGTGCTGACGGCGCTCAAGAGTGAGTGGGCCCTGTTCCTCATGTGGCGCGTGCTGACGGCGCTCAAGAGTGAGTGGGCCCTGTTCCTCATGTGGCGCGTGCTGACGGCGCTCAAGAGTGAGTGGGCCCTGTTCCTCATGTGGCGCGTGCTGACGGCGCTCAAGAGTGAGTGGGCCCTGTTCCTCATGTGGCGCGTGCTGACGGCGCTCAAGAGTGAGTGGGCCCTGTTCCTCATGTGGCGCGTGCTGACGGCGCTCAAGAGTGAGTGGGCCCTGTTCCTCATGTGGCGCGTGCTGACGGCGCTCAAGAGTGAGTGGGCCCTGTTCCTCATGTGGCGCGTGCTGACGGCGCTCAAGAGTGAGTGGGCCCTGTTCCTCATGTGGCGCGTGCTGACGGCGCTCAAGAGTGAGTGGGCCCTGTTCCTCATGTGGCGCGTGCTGACGGCGCTCAAGAGTGAGTGGGCCCTGTTCCTCATGTGGCGCGTGCTGACGGCGCTCAAGAGTGAGTGGGCCCTGTTCCTCATGTGGCGCGTGCTGACGGCGCTCAAGAGTGAGTGGGCCCTGTTCCTCATGTGGCGCGTGCTGACGGCGCTCAAGAGTGAGTGGGCCCTGTTCCTCATGTGGCGCGTGCTGACGGCGCTCGTCATTCAACTCGGTCTTCTATCCCCTCCCCTCTCCCATTTGGCCCCTTACTTCTCCCCCCCTCCCCTCTCAGAAATCCACGAGCCCAAGGGCATAGCCGTGCCGCATCCGTTACAGCTGTCTGTGCACTCTCCCCCCCCCCCTCCCTCCCCTCCCTTCTCCCCCTCACCTCTCCCCCTCTCCTCTCCCCCTCTCCTCTCCCCCTCTCCTCTCCCCCTCTCCTCTCCCCGTCTCCTCTCCTCCTCTCAGAAATCCACGAGCCCAAGGGCATAGCTGAGCCGCACCCCATGCAGTGCGTGTGCACGCGGTGACGCAGCGACCCGTACGCACTTCTCACCCCACTCTCCCCCCACCTCCCTCCCCTCCCTCCCCCCCTCCCTCACCTCTCCCCCTCTCAGAAATCCACGAGCCCAAGGCATAGCCGTGCCACATCCTCTAAAGTGTGTGTGCACGCGGTGGTGCAGCGACCCGTACGCTCTTCAACCAAGCCTCTCTTTATTTGACCCCTCCTCAACTTGCACCCCCGCCCACACCTACCCACCCCTCCTACAGAAATCCACGAGCCCAAGGGCATAGCTGTACCACACCCTCTGCAATGTGTGTGCACGTGGTGGCGCAGCGACCCATACACTCTTCTCACAACCCCCTTCCTCCCTCTCACGCCCCTCCAACAGAGATTCACGAGCCCAAGGGCATAGCCGTCCCGCACCCTCTGCAATGTGTGTGCACGCGGTGGCGCAGCGACCCGTACGCGGGGGGCTCGCACTCTCATGTGCGCGTGGCGACCCTCCCCTCCGGGCCCTCCCCACCCTTCCCTCCAACAGAGATTCACGAGCCCAAGGGCATAGCTGTACCACACCCTCTGCAGTGTGTGTGCACGCGGTGGCGCAGCGACCCGTATGCGGGGGGCTCGTACTCGTACGTGCGCGTGGCAGCCTCGGGGGATGATTACGATACACTGGCAGAGAGCGTGGACGAGCGGCTCTTCTTTGCTGGCGAGGTGAGATTGTGATGGTTCGCAGTGAGTGACTCGAAACTAGGTGCGTTGATTGATAATCAATGTCTTTGTGCGCGTGGCGGCATCAGGAGACGATTACGATACACTGGCAGAGAGCGTGGACGAGCGACTCTTCTTTTCTGGCGAGGTTCGTACCACACATTTGAGAGGACTAGATGCACGTGTGAGCTTCACATGTGTCCCTGAATGTGGCGGCATTGAGGGACTACCGAACACGATACATACACTGGCAGAGAGTGTGGACGAGTGGCTCTTTCTCTCTCGCTGGCGAGGTGAGCTTATGACGGGGGTTGCAGTGAGATATGGTGAGATCGCGGTGTGATTGCTGTGATACGGTGAGATGGCAGTTGGGTGCCCCACAAAGGAGTTGTGTTCCGTGCCGGCTCAAAACTAGGGGCACTTTGTGAGCGCTTCTGTGCCACCTTGTGGCATCACCTGCTTAGCACTCATCCACACATGCAGACGCCCTCACCCTCCCTCTGCCTTACTCTATCTTCCTCTCCTCTTCAGGCCACTAGCCGCCACTACCCCAGTACCTACCATGCACGGATCATTTTTTTCCGTTCACATGCACACGCGATCCTTCTCTCTCCTTGTTTATTTCTCTCCCTTCGTTCCATTCTCTCTGCTCTCCTGCAGGCCACGAGTCGTCACTACCCCGCCACCATGCACGGAGCGTGTTTCAGCGGCCTCAGAGATTACAATCAGACACACTCACACACAGTATGAGCACGCCCTCGAACTCATTCTCTAGCTCCTTCTTTCTTCCTCTCCCCTTCAGGCCACGAGTCGTCACTACCCCGCCACCATGCACGGAGCCTGTTTCAGCGGCCTTAGAGAAGCAGCCAAGATCAACCAAGTCGCCACGGCTGCCGAAGCTGCCCGGGCAGCTAAAGCAGCGCGGGATACTCAAACCGCACCTGCTGGCACCACCACAGGGCAAAGCACACCCATGAGCACAAGTGCAGGCATATCAACCCCAAGCAAGAGCCCCAGCACGAGCACAGCACCTGCAGACACAGCTGCACACACAACCTCAGGCAAGGGCCCGGCCACGGGCATGGTGAGCAAGGGCACAGGCATGGGGGCAGAAGCAACATCGCCAGCAGCAGCAGGAGCAGCAGCAACTCCAGCGGTGGGCATGGGCATGCAGATGGCGGTGTGTCTGCTGGATGCTCTGTTCAGCGATCCTGACCTCGAGTTTGGTGCCTTTGCTGTTCTCTTTGACCCCCGCGGCTGCCAGCCTGACCGCGCTGCTGTGCTGCGCATCACACTTAGGAAGGATGCCTTCTTGCTAAGGCTACCCGCTGCTCCTGCTGCTGCTGCTACTGCTGCTTCTGTCCCTGCTGCTGCTGCTGCTGCCTCTCCAGCAAGAGTGAGTGAAGATGCAGCAGCAGTAGCTGCAGCGAAGGAAGCAGCAGGGAGGCGAAAGGCAGAGGCTGCGAGAGAATGGGGTCCTGCAGTGAACACTCCCGTGTCACAAACCCATGTGGAGAAAAATGAGAGTCAATCAAGCCATCCATTAAAGGAAGCAGAAAATAAGCCATCTAGCACTACTCTACCTCCCCCACCGGCTGCTGCTGCAGCCAACACCACATGGCCCCTTCCCCAGATGACCCTGCACACAGTTGTCACCCGCCACCAGGCCTTGCTGCTCCGGGAGGTTCGGGGGAGTGATGCGGCTCGGCTGGCGATCCTGACGAGCAGGTTCGGGGTGAAGCTGGTGGGGAGGCGCGGGCTGGGGCAGATGGGGGAGGAGGTGTTAGAGGCAGTAAGGGAAGCGAGAGCTGCTAGCAGGAGGAAGCTTGGTGTGATTTGACAAGGTGCTTTGGTATAGGCTCATACGGTAGTTGAAATGGGCTGGGGCGGGGCAGATGAGGGAGGAGGTGGTGGACGCAGTGAGGCAGGTGAGACCTGCTAGCAGGAGGAAGCTTGGTGTGATTTGACAAGGTGATTTGGTATGGGCTCCAATAGTTGAAATGGGCTGGACTGGGGCAGATGGGGGAGGAGGTGCTGGAAGCTGTGAGGGAGGCGAGACCTGCTAGCAGGGAGGAGGCTTGGTGTGATTCGACCTCGTTCGAGGAGGAGTTTGGCTTGCGGTATGGGCTCATGCGGGAGGAATGGTCTGGTTGGGAATCAAGATGGGTAAGATGGGGGAGGAGGTGCTGGAGGGATTGTATATACCATTGTTAATATCTTTATATTTGAATGTGCAATGAGAGGTCGAATTGATTGATGGCTAGTGGAAGGGGTGGTTAAATTTTTTTTTTTTCAATGCAGGTATGACCTGGGAGCCAGCCAACCTGGGGGTTTTCTCATAGGCTGATGCTTTTAGTTTGGGAATGTGCAGTGGATGGGTGCGTTTATGAAATAAAATAAAACTTGAATTGTAGCTATGCGTTTCGCCTTGCCTCATTCCCTTCTGCCGCGTATTGGGGTATCGGGATTTGTTATGGGCAGCATTGTAGGTTCTGGCCTGGCCTGGACCCAGCCAAACCAATGGATGGTTTGCCCTTGGAACGCGTTGGTGGTGGTCTGTGCGACCATGCGATTGACTGTGAGACGATGCGAGAGCAACGAAAGTGTGCGAGCAGCGAAATTTGTTCGAGTGGGCCAAAAACTTGCAATAATGCAGGTGTGCGTGCTGTGATAGGCTCCGCTACTGCTGACTTCATACCCAGATCAGTCGCCGCATTCTTCGCCAAAGTGACGCATCAATAAGTGACGCAGGCGCTCTTCAGCGGCGCCCCTGGGAGCGTCCCGGACTTCGTCTCTAAATCACCCGCTCGCTAGAGCAGCCATGGAATCATCTCTTCCGCCTCCGTTTCTGTGCCATATCCTGCTGCATTTTAAACCGGTAGTAGCGCCAGCAGCTGTACCAAGAACCGCTTTACCTACCACTACTAGTAGCCTCGAGTTGTACCAAGAACCTCATCAGTTCAAAATCACCTCGGCGTTGCGCTATTCAGTGCACATCCGTCACGCGTGCCACCCCAGAGCCGGTCGATTGGCCGACGGAGGCTCAAGTCACTCGGTTGTGCGTGCTCAGGTCAAGCAGCTGACGTGGCAGCTCGACCGCAATGGCCACCTTTCCTTCCGCGCTGCTTCCGCTCCTCATCCTTTCCGTCATCATTGGAGGCGAGTCGTTGGGTTTATTGGAGGCGAGCCGTTTCTGTCCTCTCTACATTGAAGTTATATTTGAGGCGCCTGAAATATACCGTCGTCATTGGAGGCGAGTCATTTCTCTCCTCTGCTTCTCTTGGGGTTTCTGGGTTGAGAAGCGCGCACGCTTGTTTCCCTCTCACCCCTCTGCTCCCTCTCACCCCTCTGCTCCCTCTCACCCCCTCTGCTCCTTCTGCCTCCAGTGGCCGCAATGGCTCACGTGGCGGCAGGCGAAGGCACGGATCGCCTGAACGGCCATGTGCAAGTGAGCAGCGCGCGCAACAATGTGGCTTTTGAGGCGCCTCAAAAGGCAGGCGAAGGCACGAATCCCCGGAACGCCCATGTGCAAGTGAGCAGCGCGGGCTCCACTGTGGCGGCGAGGAGGAGCATCAAAAGCGATGGCACGACAGCAGGAAGCAAGAACTTGAGCATGGGAGTGGGGTTGGGTGTGGGGTTGGGGGTGAGGGTGGCGGGCAGTGGCGGCACAGGCGGAGCAGTGGGCGCGAGCGTGCAGGTGGCGACGCAGATCACGGTGCCAGGCGTCAGCCTGCCCGTCAGCTTCGACGCCCTCCGCTGCTTCACCCTTCCCCGCGCAGCGGCTAAGGCGGCGCGGGACGTGCAGGTGTGGTGGCATGGGCTGGCGGGTAACAGCAAGGGCGGCAGCAAGGGTGCGGCGTGCAAGCAGCTGCGGTTCTTTGCCAACCCCGCCTGCAAGGGCAAGGCGCTGGATGAGGTGCTCAAGCCGCAATACGCCGGCCTGCGCAAATTCTTCCACGTGCCCAGGTGGGTGTTGGGGCAGCCTGGCAGGTGGGTGGGTCATGGGGGTTAGGTGGCTTCTATTGGGTTGTGCCTCTGTAAAGTGTTTCTAACGTCTGATCTTGTTCTAAACTTTTAATTTGAACGTGCTTTTGACGTTTGCAGCAAGAAGAAGGTCGCCCGATGGACTTCTGTTGCTTGCCAGCCTGGTGCGTGCCTTGCCTCCATGCCTCCATGCCACCTTGCCATCATGCCACCTTGCCTCCATGCCTCCATGCCACCTTGCCATCATGCCACCTTGCCTCCATGCCTCCATGCCACCTTGCCATCATGCCACCTTGCCTCCATGCCTCCATGCCACCTTGCCATCATGCCACCTTGCCTCCATGCCTCCTTGCCACCTTGCCATCATGCCACCTTGCCTCCATGCCTCCATGCCACCTTGCCATCATGCCACCTTGCCTCCATACCTCCATGCCACCTTGCCATCATGCCACCTTGCCTCCATGCCTCCATGCCACCTTGCCATCATGCCACCTTGCCTCCATGCCTCCATGCCACCTTGCCATCATGCCACCTTGCCTCCATGCCTCCATGCCACCTTGCCATCATGCCACCTTGCCTCCATGCCTCCATGCCACCTTGCCATCATGCCACCTTGCCTCCATGCCTCCTTGCCACCTTGCCATCATGCCACCTTGCCTCCATGCCTCCATGCCACCTTGCCATCATGCCACCTTGCCTCCATACCTCCATGCCACCTTGCCATCATGCCACCTTGCCTCCATGCCTCCATGCCACCTTGCCATCATGCCACCTTGCCTCCATGCCTCCTTGCCACCTTGCCATCATGCCACCTTGCCTCCATGCCTCCTTGCCACCTTGCCATCATGCCACCTTGCCTCCATGCCTCCATGCCACCTTGCCATCATACCACCTTGCCTCCATGCCTCCATGCCACCTTGCCATCATGCCACCTTGCCTCCATGCCTCCTTGCCACCTTGCCATCATGCCACCTTGCCTCCATGCCTCCATGCCACCTTGCCATCATGCCACCTTGCCTCCATGCCTCCATGCCACCTTGCCATCATGCCACCTTGCCTCCATGCCTCCATGCCACCTTGCCATCATGTCACCTTGCCTCCATGCCTCCTTGCCACCTTGCCATCATGCCACCTTGCCTCCATGCCTCCTTGCCACCTTGCCATCATGCCACCTTGCCTCCATGCCTCCTTGCCACCTTGCCATCATGCCACCTTGCCTCCATGCCTCCTTGCCACCTTGCCATCATGCCTCCATGCCTCCATGCCTCCATGCCTCCATGCCTCCATGCCTCCATGCCACCTTTCCATCATGCCTCCATGCCTCCTTGCCACCGTGCCCCCTTGCCTCCCTTCCTCCATGCCACCTTGCCATCACGCCACCTTGCCTCCTTTCCTGCATGCTACCTTGCCACATGCTGCACACATCTCTTGCACCTCCTCTATGAAAACGGGCTTCTTGCATTCCTGCATCACACCATGTGGTGTCACCGGCTGTGCCGCACGCATCTCTGCTGTTCCCCATGCACGCCAGACATCACTTGCGAGCATGCCAAGTGTCCGAGCAATTCCATGTGCAAGCCAGCGAATGACAGCCAGGGTGTCATTTGTGAATGCAACAAAGGCTTTGTTCCCGTCACTGGCACTTGCGAAGGTACGGTGCTTGTGCTACCTCCTCTCTTGTGCTCTCTCTAGCGCTTTTTGCCTCCCTTTCACCTGCAGTTTGCCCATTTTTGTTCTTGAGGATGATTTCCAACCATTGATTTTTTTGGGGCTTCTTTTGAATTGGAAGAATGGCATCGTTAAGAAACGGGTGCTGGATAGCAAGTTATAAACTTACTGGCATAACTTTATGACCATCCTCAATCCAATACACCCTTTTCTTGTGTCACACTTGCATCACAGGAACAGGATGCGCCCTGTTCCTGTAACGAGGGTTTTGAAATGATTGCCAATGGCACTTGTGCGGGTGAGGTGTGTTGCTTTGAAAGCTAAGAGAATGCTCGGACTTTCTTTTGAGTCGACTCAAAAGTCAACTAGGTGTGTTGCTTTGAAAGCTAAGAGAATGCTCGGACTTTCTTTTGAGTCGACTCAAAAGTCAACTAGGTGTGTTGCTTTGAAAGCTAAGAGAATGCTCGGACTTTCTTTTGAGTCGACTCAAAAGTCAACTAGGTGTGTTGCTTTGAAAGCTAAGAGAATGCTCGGACTTTCTTTTGAGTCGACTCAAAAGTCAACTAGGTGTGTTGCTTTGAAAGCTAAGAGAATGCTCGGACTTTCTTTTGAGTCGACTCAAAAGTCAACTAGGTGTGTTGCTTTGAAAGCTAAGAGAATGCTCGGACTTTCTTTTGAGTCGACTCAAAAGTCAACTAGGTGTGTTGCTTTGAAAGCTAAGAGAATGCTCGGACTTTCTTTTGAGTCGACTCAAAAGTCAACTAGGTGTGTTGCTTTGAAAGCTAAGAGAATGCTCAGACTTTCTTTTGAGTCGACTCAAAAGTCAACTAGGTGTGTTGCTTTGAAAGCTAAGAGAATGCTCGGACTTTCTTTTGAGTCGACTCAAAAGTCAACTAGGTGTGTTCCGTGGGACTTTCTTTCCCTTGCAGATGTGTGTGCTTCATTCAAATGTGGACCTGGCGGCAACTGCACGAGGGATGCAAACGGAAATCCATCGTGTAGTTGCAGCGCTGGCTTCACGCCGTCTTCTGACAAGCTTTCTTGCATTGGTGAGTTGGTTGGAGGGGTGCAACACAGAGGGCGTGCCTTGCGTTTTGGACCCAGTCCTTGAAACTTGACCTTCCTTCAACTCAAGTTTTGGCTAGAGTTGCTGAAAGTGTGTGCGTGTTCAACAAAGTGACCCTTGATTGTCAAAAGATTGGAGCACTATATGTTGTTACAATATCTTTTCTCTTGCCTGGATTTCTTTGCTGCAGACCAAGGTGCAAAAAAAACGACGTTTTTTTCAATTTTTGATTGTAAAATACCGTATCGTAATAAACGATCGTAAAAAAAGATTAAAAAAAACGGTTTTTGAAAATAAATACTTTTGGTGCAAAAAAACCTTCTTTTTTTTCAGTAAAAAGACCAAAACTGCTGCTGAAACAAGGGGATTGATTGGTGAGAAGAACAAGGGGGCCATTAGAAGTGCTGATGATGCAGCGGAAGATTGTTAGAAGTGCTTTTGTGATCAGAACAGCATCTTTGAAGTTGAAGAGTTTTTTTTGTCTAACAAAAAAACGACGTTTTTTTCCCAAAAGGTACCGTAAAATACCATCGAAAAAAACAATCGTATTTTTCGACAATCGTTTTTTTCTACCTTGCTGCAGACAACTGTGATGCGGTGAAGTGTGGACCTGGCGGCAACTGCACGAGGGATGCAAACGGAAATCCATCGTGTAGTTGCAGCGCTGGCTTCACGCCGTCTTCTGACAAGCTTTCTTGCATTGGTGAGTAGGAGGGGTGCAACACAGAGGGCGTGCCTTGCGTTTTGGACCCAGTCCTTGAAACTTGACCTTCCTTCAACTCAAGTTTTGGCTAGAGTTGCTGAAAGTGTGTGCGTGTTCAATAAAGTGACCCTTGATTGTCAAAAGATCGGAGCACTATATGTCGTTACAATAACTTTTCTCTTGCCTGGATTTCTTTGCTGCAGACAACTGTGATGCGGTGAAGTGTGGGCCTGGAGGCAACTGCACGAGGGATGCAAACGGAAATCCATCATGTAGTTGCAGCGCTGGCTTCACGCCGTCTTCTGACAATCTCTCTTGCATTGGTGAGTTGGAGGGGTGCAACACAGAGGGCGTTTCTTACGTTTCAAAACCAATTCTTGAACGTTGTCTTTCCTTCAACTCAAGGTGTGTTTTGAGTCGACTCAAAACACACCAATTCTTGAACGTTGTCTTTCCTTCAACTCAAGGTGTGTTTTGAGTCGACTCAAAACACACCAATTCTTGAACGTTGTCTTTCCTTCAACTCAAGGTGTGTTTTGAGTCGACTCAAAACACACCAATTCTTGAACGTTGTCTTTCCTTCAACTCAAGGTGTGTTTTGAGTCGACTCAAAACACACCAATTCTTGAACGTTGTCTTTCCTTCAACTCAAGGTGTGTTTTGAGTCGACTCAAAACACACCAATTCTTGAACGTTGTCTTTCCTTCAACTCAAAATTTTGGTTGAGTTATTGGAGTTGGCGCGTATTCTCAACGACCCTTGCTTCTCAAGATCCGAGCATTATTTTTATTTTTTTTGTACTGTCCTTCCTCTCGCCTTGGCTCTCTTTTCTGCAGACAACTGTGATGCGGTGAAGTGCGGGCCGGGCGGCAACTGCACAAGAAATGCGAGCGGAAATCCATCCTGTTCATGCAGCGCTGGCTTCACGCCGTCTTCTGACAAGCTCTCTTGCGTTGGTGAGTCGGAGGAGTGCAATTTAGAGGGCATGCCTTGCGTTTCAGACCCAATTCTTAAACTCGAACGGTCCGTTGTATTGATTCAGCAGGGGTACAGACATGCAGTGTTGTATATGATAGCTTCAATCCCTCTAGCCCTTGAACCCACCTTCCTTAAACTCGGTCTCCTCTCACCTTCCTTAAACTCGGTCTCCTCTCACCTTCCTTAAACTCGGTCTCCTCTCACCTGAAACTTGTTGCAAGAGTTGATGAATCGCGTTTGTGACACTTGATTTTCAAGATCCCGGCATAATTGTTTTTTTTTTTTTTTTTTTTTTATGATGATGATGATCCTTTGACTTGCCTTGCTCTCTTTTTCGCAGACAATTGTGCCGCAGTGGATTGTGGGCCCAATGGCAAGTGCGCGAAGAAGGATAACGGGGACGCAACCTGCGAGTGCGACTCGGGCTTTGGGATGCCTTCCGACCAACTGCGTTGCGTCGGTGAGTTGCTGTGGTCTCGTCTGCAGGATGGATATGCCATTGCAACGAGGTGATGCAGGATGAATATAGCTGCTGCAACTCCATTGTTAAGCATGCATACTCCACCTGTATTTCTCTTTCCCTTTCGATCACCCCCGACCACCCCCCCTCCTCCCACCACCTCCATCCCCCGTTCCCCCCTCGCACCCCACCCCCCTCCCTTTTTTTGTTAACTTTTTTTTTTTTTTCCCTCCTCCTTTTACCCTTTTCCCCTCTCTTTGACCCTTGACCCCATCCTTCTTTGCACTCACATCAGGCACAGCTTGCTCTGAGTTGGGCTGCGAACCGGATGGGGATTGTGTGAACACCGATGGAGTTCACTCTTGCAAGTGGAGTAAGCATGGCTTTCAGCTTTCTCTACACCCAACCCAGCCCATCCGCACCGCACTCATTCTCTACCATCTCCACCATCTCTTTCATTTGGTGCAGTCTACTCCAAATTTGAGTGAAGCTGGCGCATTTGCCAAGCTCATTTTGCCGTCTCTCTGCCGCACCTTGTGTCTGCCTTGCGTGCTGCTGTGTTCCCCAGAGTCACCCTGTGGCACGTGTCCCACTGGCGCCACCTGCAAAACCGTCCATACAACCAATGCAGAATCGGCTGATGTGCCATACTGCGAGTGCCCTGAGGGCTTTGGGATGACCCCAACAGAATGCATCCCGGGTAAGATTCAATACCACCCTGATTTACTCTCCATTGATAGCATCTCACCCCAAGCTGAGAGCATCTCACCCGAAAGTTCTTCAACTTGGAGTGTATCAATAGCCCCAACATGCAGCAGTCAACTTGGACGCCATGTCAGATTTTGCCTTCACCATCCTTTTCCATCCCGGTTCATAACATCACGTTTCCCCGCGTCCTTGCTCCCTGTTTCCCCTTCTTCTTGTGCCATCCTTTCTCAGATTCACCCAACGAAGTGCTTGCCAGCAGTGTGACATTCATCCAGGATCGTAGTGCCAGAGGCAAGGCGTCCAAGCCCTACACCCTCCGTCTCAAATATGGCTGCACTCAGTTGCCGGAGGGGGTGGCTGGGAATTTCACGACGGCATATGAGCTGTTGTACATCGGTGGTGGTCCGAGTTGCGAACGGTTCAGATGGTATGACACGGATAACTGCGTCTCGAGCAGTGTATTGGAGCGTGCAAATTTTCTTCGGACCCCAAATGCTGCATTCGCAAATACGTGAGTGGTGATTTGTACCAAAGTCAGTCAGCAGTCTGCATTTTGTCATCAAGTATGTCAATCAATATGCACTTTACATTTCATTGTACCATTAAAAAAAATGCATTATATATTTCATCATACTATGATCTCAATGGTGCGCTTTACTATGCACTGCGCTTTACTATGCACTGCACTTTACTATGCATTGCACTGTACTAAGCATTGCATTGTACTATGCATTGCACTTTACTGTGCAGTGCACTGTGCTATGCATTGCACTTTACTGTGCAGTGCACTGTACTGTGCAGTGCACTGTACTATGCATTGCACTTTACTATGCATTGCACTTTACTATGCATTGCACTTTACTGTGCATTGCACTGTACTGTGCAGTGCACTGTACTATGCATTGCACTTTACTATGCATTGCACTGTACTATGCATTGCACTTTACTATGCATTGCACTGTACTATGCATTGCACTGTACTATGCATTGCACTGTACCATGTGTTGCACTTTTAGACCTTTACCCAAAACCGTCTATCTCAGTAATTGTTTCTTTTCTTGTACTGGTATGCGCTTTTCTTTTCTTTCTTGCATTATCAACCAGGTTCCGAAATCCCTTAAACTTCCGCTCTTTTTGGTGCGGTGATGCCTAGTGTTCTCTCCTGCCCGCGTCTGATCCACTCAACCATGGAAATCAGTGCCCGACAGCTTGGCATGTTACTCATTTAGTCCCGAGAAACGACTTTCTCCTCCTGCTCTAGTCCCTAGAACGAGTTTTCTTCCTGTCACAGTCCTCAGAAATGAGGTTTTCTCCCGCTTTTGTCCCCAGATAGCAGACCCTGCAGTGTTGTTTGTACACCTGAGGGCATGTAATCCAAGATGTGTTTGTACTAATTAGTACCTACTTCATTAACGATACTGCACCCTACTTTACTATTTAATACACTATCTTGCAGAACACCCATCACTGTTGTTTTTGCCTGCAGACAGGCTGCAGACAAGCATCATACACATGAAACGCGGCAAGAACCTGCCCGCAGCAAATGGGACAAAGCGACTGCTCCTCCTCTCTCACAACCCGCGAACACGACAGGCAACACGTGCGGTGGCCACACGGGATGAATGCCGCCTTGCGCTTGCGATGCAGACACACCACACAGACAGAGCTCCCCGCTCTGCACCACTTCTCTCATCACCATTCTTCCTAACACAACACTCGTACCGGTAATTGAATTGACACAGCACTACCTATGTTATTTCAAGCATCGTACACACGAAAAGCAGCCAGAACCTGCCCGCGACAAATGGGACACAGCGATTGCTCCACCCTCACAACCCTCGAACATGACAGACAACACACGCGGTGGCCACACGGAATAAACACTGCCTTGCGCTTGCGATGCAGACACACCACACAGAGCTCCCCGCTCTGCACCTCCTCCCCCACCACCTCCTCCTCATCCGCATCCCCACCTCGAATCAGATTCTCCAAACTCCTCTCAAATTCCGAAGGCAAAGCTGCTATTACACCGCCTTCAGCATTCTCCCATCTACTCCCTTCTGCCTCTGCCCCTGTTCTTACTCCTGCCCCTGTTCCTGCTGCCCCTGTTCCTGCTGCTCCTGTTCCTGCTGCTCCTGCTCTTCCTCCTGCTCCCATTCCTCCTGTTCCTGCTGTCTGCTGCTGTCTCTCGAGGAGAATCCCCATCCATCGTTCCAGCTCTGCCTGCTCCAACTGCTGCCGCCGCTGCCGCCTGGCTTGCCGGCGCCGGTACGTCCTGATGGGGAATAAGGGGGAGGAGAGGAGGAGGTGATGCGGTCTGCTGCTGCCTCTCGAGGAGAATCGCCATCCACCTTTCCAGCTCTGCCTGCTCCAACTGCTGCCGCCACTGCCGCCTGGCTTGCCGGCGCCGGTACGTCCTGATGGGGAATAAGGGGGAGGAGAGGAGGAGGTGATGCGGTCTGCTGCTGCCTCTCGAGGAGAATCGCCATCCACCTTTCCACCTCTGCCTGCTCCAACTGCTGCCGCCACTGCCGCCTGGCTTGCCGGCGCCGGTACGTCCTGATGGGGAATAAGGGGGAGGAGAGGAGGAGGTGATGCGGTCTGCTGCTGCCTCTCGAGGAGAATCGCCATCCACCTTTCCAGCTCTGCCTGCTCCACCTGCTGCCGCCGCTGCCGCCTGACTTGCCGGCGGCGATACGTCCTGATAGTGTATGAGGGAGAGGAGATGGAGAGGGGGGGAAGTGAGGAAGGGGTGGGAGCAGAGCAGCAGTGCCAGAAGAGAGCATCGTTCCAGCTCTGCCTGCTCCATCTGCTGCCGCCGCTGCCGCCTGGCCTGCGGGCAACGGTACGTCCTGACCAGGAGGAAGAGCATGACGGTAGAGCATGACCAGGAGGATAGGGGGAAGAGAGGGGGTGGAACAGAGGAGGAGAGGGGAGGAAATGAGAAAGAAGTGAGGGTAGTGATGTGAGGAGCTCTGCCTGCTCCATCTGCTTTTTGAGCTCCTCATCTCAAAAGCCATGTGAGGAGCTCTGCCTGCTCCATCTGCTTTTTGAGCTCCTCATCTCAAAAGCCATGTGAGGAGCTCTGCCTGCTCCATCTGCTTTTTGAGCTCCTCATCTCAAAAGCCATGTGAGGAGCTCTGCCTGCTCCATCTGCTGCCGCCGCTGCCTCCGATGCCGCCGCTGCCTCCGATGCCGCCGCTGCCTCCGATGCCGCCGCTGCCTCCGATGCCGCCTGGCCTGCCAGGGACAGTAGACCAGGGGGCATGAGGCGGAGACGACATGACCAAGAGGAGAGGGAGTGGGTGAAAGAGGATAAACGGGATGAGATGAGATGAGTGGATACGAGAGGGAGGCAAGGGAGAAAGGGTTAAGTGCATTATGAACAGGAGTGGTAGCGATGAGGGGATGGGAGACAGAAGAGGAAGGGAAGGCTTGTGACGCACGAATCAGGATGGCAGTGGAAAGAGCAGACAGTCCAACACAACACACCAGTGGTAGAAAAAGGAAAAACCTTTCTCACGGTTCCCTTTCAACACAACCTGGTTTTTTAGAATTCTCAAGAACCTTTCTCAGGGCTCCCTTTCAACACAACCTGGTTTATTAAAGAATTCTCAAGAACCTTTCTCAGGGCTCCCTTTCAACACAAACTTTTGAGTCGTCTCAAAAGCTCTCTTGCAACTTTCGGAACTTCCACACAGCAGAGCCGATAACGCCTGCAGCGGCGGCAGAGAGCAGCAACCCTTGCACCCACGCACACCCACATGCACACTTCAACACCCACCTACACCCACGCCCACACCCACAACCACACCCACACCCACATGCACGAACTTCCACACAGCAAGGCCGATAACGCCTGCAGCGGAGGCAGAGAGCAGCACACAGAAACCCTTGCACCCACGCACACACACACAGCCACACACACACACCCACACACACGCGCGCGCGCACACACCCACACACACACACCACACACACACACACACACACACACACACACACGTACTTCCACACAGCAAGGCCGATGACGCCTGCAGCGGCAGCAGACAGCAGCACTCCCCATCCAAGCAGCGACCCCCACCGCTGGTTGAGCTTCTGCATCATGCCCGCCTTGGACTCTGGGAAGCTGGAAAAAGATGGGAGAAAGGGGTAATATAAGAGATTGGCCGTTAACATGCACCCCAGCCCTCCCCACCCCAGCAGTGCTCCCCACCGCTGCTTCGGCTTCTGAATCATGCCCGCCTTGGTCTCTGGAAAGCTGCGAAGAGATGGGGGTAAGGGGCATGTGAAGGGGTGGTGAATAGGGTCACCTCGGCTACCATAACAGAAAGGGATCTGGAGGATAGAGGAAGAAGACAGTAGAAATGGATGCACCCAATGATGAGAGAGTGACCCTACGTCAAGGAAAGCACTCACAGGAAGAAGGAGTTGACTTTTGAGTCGACTCAAAAGTCAACTCTCTACGTCAAGGAAAGCACTCACAGGAAGGAGTTGACTTTTGAGTCGACTCAAAAGTCAACTCTCTACATCAAGGAAAGCACTCACAGGAAGGAGTTGACTTTTGAGTCGACTCAAAAGTCAACTCTCTACGTCAAGGAAAGCACTCACAGGAAGAAGGAGTTGACTTTTGAGTCGACTCAAAAGTCAACTCTCTACGTCAAGGAAAGCACTCACAGGAAGGAGTTGACTTTTGAGTCGACTCAAAAGTCAACTCTCTACGTCAAGGAAAGCACTCACAGGAAGAAGGAGTTGACTTTTGAGTCGACTCAAAAGTCAACTCTCTACGTCAAGGAAAGCACTCACAGGAAGAAGGAGTTGACTTTTGAGTCGACTCAAAAGTCAACTCTCTACGTCAAGGAAAGCACTCACAGGAAGAAGGAGTTGACTTTTGAGTCGACTCAAAAGTCAACTCTCTACATCAAGGAAAGCACTCACAGGAAGGAGTTGACTTTTGCGTCGACTCAAAAGTCAACTCTCTACGTCAAGGAAAGCACTCACAGGAAGAAGGAGTTGACTTTTGAGTCGACTCAAAAGTCAACTCTCTACGTCAAGGAAAGCACTCACAGGAAGAAGGAGTTGACTTTTGAGTCGACTCAAAAGTCAACTCTCTACGTCAAGGAAAGCACTCACAGGAAGAAGGAGTTGACTTTTGAGTCGACTCAAAAGTCAACTCTCTACGTCAAGGAAAGCACTCACAGGAAGAAGGAGTTGACTTTTGAGTCGACTCAAAAGTCAACTCTCTACGTCAAGGAAAGCACTCACAGGAAGAAGGAGTTGACTTTTGAGTCGACTCAAAAGTCAACTCTCTACGTCAAGGAAAGCACTCACAGGAAGAAGGAGTTGACTTTTGCGTCGACTCAAAAGTCAACTCTCTACGTCAAGGAAAGCACTCACAGGAAGGAGTTGACTTTTGAGTCGACTCAAAAGTCAACTCTCTACGTCAAGGAAAGCACTCACAGGAAGAAGGAGTTGACTTTTGAGTCGACTCAAAAGTCAACTCTCTACGTCAAGGAAAGCACTCACAGGAAGAAGGAGTTGACTTTTGAGTCGACTCAAAAGTCAACTCTCTACGTCAAGGAAAGCACTCACAGGAAGGAGTTGACTTTTGAGTCGACTCAAAAGTCAACTCTCTACGTCAAGGAAAGCACTCACAGGAAGGAGTTGACTTTTGAGTCGACTCAAAAGTCAACTCTCTACGTCAAGGAAAGCACTCACAGGAAGAAGGGGAACTTGGGCGAAGCGAAGATGGCAGGCCGACCGTCGGATCCTCGCCTCACATGGCCGACAGCTGTCAGCTCGTGATTGATTGGCAGCACCCTCTCGTCCGTCCGCAGGCCCACCTGGGGAAGGTACATATGGGGGAGTGGTATTACTTATTCACCAACTCATTCATTCATACACAAAATGACATATGAGACAGGCAGCACCCTCTCGTCCGTGCGCAGGCCCACCTGGGGAAGGTGTATGTGCGGAGTGGTACTCATTCATCAACTCATTTATTTGATTCATGCACGCAATGACAACATGAGGCTGACAGCACCCTCTCTTCCGTGCGCATGCACACCTGGGGAAGGCATTTGTGCGGAGTGGGATTCATTCATTCATTCATAATCACAATGGGAAGATGGCGTACAAGCACATGCATGCCAGGATCTCCTCTGAGCATTTTGCAGAGAAAAAAACCCCAACATAAGTACATTAAGCACACGCGCAGCTCTTATATAAAAGTATACTCACCGGAAGGAACTTCCCTATAAGCATATGCAAGGATTTAGCATGGAGAGCAAACAGAAGGCGACTAGAAGTTCCTATAAGCATATGCATGGTTGATAAAGAGTACGTGCAGCCCTCATGGGGCGCCTCCCGGCACTCACTCACCGGCAGGCGCTTCCCTATAAGCACGTGCAGGGCGGTGGCGCCCCATGACGGGTCGGCCTTTTGCATGTGACTGTAGACGGTGTGCAGTGGCAGTGGCTGTGTGGCGCCCACCAATGAGATGTCGACACGTGGCGCTGACAGGTGTGAGGTATCTGCTAGAGAGAAAGGGACCTGCGGGGAAGTGGTGAGAGGGGAGAGAGAGAGAGAGAGAGAGAGAGAGAGAGAGAGAGAGAGAGAGAGAGAGAGAGAGAGAGAGAGAGAGAGATGAAGGGAGAACAAAGCAGATAATGCAAGAAGTGGTGATGGGGGGGAAAAGAAACAGGGGACGGTGAAGCGGGGGGGGGGGGAGGAGAGGAGAAATCGGGGAAGATGGATAGAAGAGGAGAGATGAGGCGAGGACAATATCAGAGGTATCAGCTGGAGCAGGCAAGGGAGAGGGCAGGAGAGTGAGGCGTTGGGGGGGACAGGGAAGGTGGGGAGAAGGATAGCCGAGGCGAGGGGGATGATAGGTAAGGCGAGGGGGATGATAGGTAAGGCGAGGGGGATGATAGGTAAGGCGAGGGGGATGATAGGTAAGGCGAGGGGGATGATAGGTAAGGCGAGGGGGATGATAGGTAAGGCGAGGGGGATGATAGGTAAGGCGAGGGGGATGATAGGTAAGGCGAGGGGGATGATAGGTAAGGCGAGGGGGATGATAGGTAAGGCGAGGGGGATGATAGGTAAGGCGAGGGGGATGATAGCCAAGGCGAGGGGGATGATAGGTAAGGCGAGGGGGATGATAGGTAAGGCGAGGGGGATGATAGGTAAGGCGAGGGGGATGATAGGTAAGGCGAGGGGGATGATAGGTAAGGCGAGGGGGATGATAGGTAAGGCGAGGGGGATGATAGGTAAGGCGAGGGGGATGATAGGTAAGGCGAGGGGGATGATAGCCAAGGCGAGGGGGATGATAGGTAAGGCGAGGGGGATGATAGGTAAGGCGAGGGGGATGATAGCCAAGGCGAGGGGGATGATAGGTAAGGCGAGGGGGATGATAGGTAAGGCGAGGGGGATGATAGGTAAGGCGAGGGGGATGATAGGCAACGCAGCGGGGTGGGCAGAGGAAGGGAATCAAGAAAAAGGCTTGAAAATGGTAAGGCTTGTCATTATGGAAGGACAGGAGGGATGAAACAAAGCCATGTGGTAGAGAAAATGGTAGTCGGTGTCGGTGACGATCGAGGGGAATGTGAGGAACGGAAAGGCAGGGGACGGGTGGACGCGAAGGGCAGGGTAAAGGCAGGAACGGAAGAGAGCTCACAGATTGTCTGACAAGGTTAACCTGTTCTGACTTAACGACCCAGCCCAGCAGCGGGTGCAGCTCCGAGTATAGCATCTGAAGCAAGGCAAGGCAGGGCAACAGCACGGGACTTGAAGAGGATGTCAGGTTTGTTTAGAAACGGATGAGGAGGAGGAGCCAGGACTTGACCATGACAAGCCCAGCAGCGGGTGCAGCTCCAAGTATAGCATCTGAAGCAAGGCAAGGCAAGGCAAGGCAGGACGCCAACAGAGTCCCGGGCGGAAGATTTTAACGAGGTGAATGTGGAGAGCCAAACCCTGACCTTGTTTTTTGAGACGTCTCAAACTCAAAAGTTCCGAGACGTCTCAAACTCAAAAGTTCCGAGACGTCTCAAACTCAAAAGTTCCGAGACGTCTCAAAAGGTGAATGTGGAGAGCCAAACCCTGACCTTGACAAGCCCCTTCCTCTTCCCCCCTTCCCACCCACCCACCCACCCACCAGAGGACACTCATCCGCATCCTGACACCTCCCACCCGCCCACTCACCACATCTGACCGCTCCACCACAGCGCATGGCTGCTTGGCGCCATGCACTGGAAGCAGCGGAGAGCAGCCTGGCCCAGCTCCAGCAGCTGGAGGAGAGCCCAACTCTATCCCTGACCCCTGCCCTCCCCCCACCGCCCCAGACCCTTTCCCCGCCCCTAACTTGGGGAGCGAGAAGGAGAGCGGAGAGGAAGAGGAGGTGGAGGAGGAGGAGGGGGGAGAAGGCGAGGAGGAGAGCTGCACGGATCCCCTGACGAGCACCAGCTCGTGGGGGTTGGTGTAATCCGCTAGCTCACTCGCATCTGACGGGCCCCGGCCCAGCTCACGTTGCCCCCATGCTGCTGCTGACTGGCTTGACGACCCTTCGTCGCTCTTGCTTCTTCCCACGGGTAACAGCCATTTCAACCCGCCACTGCTGCTGCTGCTGCTGCTGCTGGTGCCACCACCAGTGGTGCCACCAACGCTGCTGTCGCTGCGGACGCTGAGAATGCTGCTATCATCCTTCCCTGGCCTGCTCTCTCCGCCTCCATTTCCCCGCCATAGGCGCGTGAAGTACCCACTACTTTCACCGCTGCCATTACTCCTCTTATCCCCGCTACTGCTGCTACCTCCCGCACCGTCAAATCCCCCCCCGCCTGTCCCGCTGGCCTGCTCCGGCGCGCGCCTGAACCACCGCCGCCACCCGCCGCTTCCGCCAGCCTTTCCCCCGGCCGCGCGGGGAAACTCCGAAGCTCCGCCTCCGCCGCCCGCCGGCGGAATCCCGTTGAGTTCCGCGATGGTCGTTTCGCGCGCGGATTTGAGCGCCTTGAGCGAGCGCGACACGCCGTAGAGCTGCCACCAGGCCTGCGTCGCGCTGCCGGCGATTAAGAGGCCGAATAATACCTCCTCCTGCGCGAGAAGCGCGCGGAGGAGCGCTACCCAGCTTCCGCCGCCGCCTGACGCGCCGTAATCCGCGCCGCCGGACGACGTCATTCACGAGGAAGACGTGTGGGATACAGAAAGGACGAATATTTCTTGTCTACTGATTCGAAAACAAGAACGAGAGCGCTTTGTACAGTTACTTGGCAATATACCTTATTTGGCTAGCTACATGTAGTGTACCGTACATGACTATTATATGTAGGATATTGTATAGGGCTACTATATGTAGCGTATGGTGACTAGGTATTTTACACTTGGAGCTTGACTGAGAGCCATAGGATCCACAGCAGCGAGCGACGTGACTAAGGTGCCAAGGCTAGAACTACCAGTTTGACGCGAAACATCGAGAAAAGGGGAAAAAAAACGTATACGACGTCACGGACGCAGCGTGATAGGTACCCGTTGAATGAAGCGAAACGGAACACAAGCAAGCAAACAGCAACAGAACGAGCTATGAGGAAATGGAAACGCGAATGGAATCCCAACGTTGGCAGCGGCCTTTCAGGCGCTTCCTCTGAGCAATTATACGTGTACTTTGACCTCGCTGGGGTCCGAGGGCGCATTCCCAGCATCGCGTCTGACGTCTCTACCGCATCACGTTCGTTTCAAACCGCGACACAAGACGACAACTACAAGTGAATCAACATCTGCACCGCAAAATACCGAGCAATAAGAACGTGAGATGTTTGAGACGCGAAGGAAAAATCGCTGATTGAAATGCGATGCGAATATTTCCGCTCATCCCTCAATTTCAGCTCGTCAGGGGTTTTCTCGCCCTAGATTTCGGCTCGTTTTGCGTGCTCTCAGTTATCCGCGTTTCCTGTCAAGACCACGTACCCCGCTTTTTGTTTGGTGCTCTGCGTTTCAAAGCGGTATCTTAACATGAAAAGTGGGGAAAATAAAAACAAAAGTTAATCCAGTCAACTTGAGAGGGTTCAAGACTAGCGTCTCCACCTAAATGTTTCTAAGTTGATGGCATATACACAAACTAAGAGGATTCAGCATGGTGCAAGGAAGCATGTGCATTCTTATGCGCAATGTGAAAAGGGGTCAAACACAGGGCCCTAGATATCAGACTTTAGACTCTGAATCAGAGTCAGTTCAGACTTTTTTTTGGTACCGTACCTAGTCTGCACTCTAAGAATTTTTTTTGGGGCCTTGTCTGATGTTTCAGAGTTTTTTTAACATACTTGTCTGTAATTTCAGACTATTTTTAGTAGTGTAGGCTGTGCCTCAGACTTGTATCGGGGGTGCATTCTAAATCCGATAATACAGGGGGCAGGGTCCAGCCTGGCGGCGTGGAGCAGTAACCCCGTCAATCACGGGCGGGAACCCACGATTTCGCCAGCGCGACAACGCACAGTTGCGTTGGTACAGCGTTGCTGTAATCCCACCCAATTCTGACCAATCGCGGCTGCGCCGCAGGCAGTGTTGGCAAGATTCCTTGCCAACACATAGCTCGCCACGCACTGCACCCTCGCTGTACACCACAACCATCCACCACACCCCGCCTTCAATGTTGCCTGTCTGAACATTATAGCTTATGCTTATGCCCATAAGGGGTACAACCCAATTAGGGTTAGTACTTGTACCCAACTGTTTCATAGTTCATTCATTCTCGTTTCAGTTTTCTCATGGTATCGAGCAGGTTCCCTCGTGGGAACTGTTTCTAGGGCCCATCGATTCGATTTTTTTTTTTCCTGCCCGGAGCGCGCTCAGCCCTTGCTCGAGTCGCGCTCCCCTTTCTCGACCCTGTCGCGCCGCCCTAGCGGCTGTATCGCGCCGCCCTAGCGGCTGTGTCGCGCCGCCCTTGCGGCCCCGATCCGCTGCCCTAGCGACCCGTCGCCTACCTCTGCGGCCCCGGCGCCGCCCTTGACAGCCCCGATCCGCCGCCCTAGCGGCCCCGTCGCCTACCCTGCGGCCCTGGCGCCGCCCTTCCTGGCCCCGATCCGCCGCCCTGCGACCCCGTCGCCTACCCCGCGGCCCTCGCGCCGCCCTTCCCAACCCAGCCCCGCCCTTGCTGGCCCCGTCGCCTACCTGCGGCCCCGTCGCCTACCCTGCGGCCCCGGCGCCTACCCTACGGCCCCGTCGCCTACCCTGCGGTCGCCTACCCTGCGGCCCCGTTGCCTACCCTGCGGCCTCGGCGCCTACCCTGCGGCCCCGTCACCTACCCTGCGGCCCCGTCGCCTACCCTGCGGCCCCGTAGCCTACCCTGCGGCCCCGGCGCCACCCTTCCCGACCCAGCCCAGCCCTTACTGGCCCCGTCGCCTACCTGCGGCCCCGGCGCTACACTTCCCGGCCCCGTAGCCTACCTGTGCGGCCCCGGCGCCGCCTCTGCCGGCCCCGCCGCCGTCCCCACGCGGCCCCGCCGTCACCACCGAGCCGCCGGCGCCGTCGCCTGCTGCCGAGCCGCCCGCCACCCAAGCCGCCAGCCGCCGCACCGCGCCGAGTTGCCGAGTCGCCCGCTGAGCCGCCCGAGCCGCCGAGCTGCAAATGTTGTCGAGCCGCCGTACCGCCGAGCCGCCCGAGCCGCCCGAGCAGTTGAGTTGCCGAGCCGCCGAGCCGACGAGCCACCCGAGCCCCGCTGTCTGGTAAGAGCAGCGCCTCTGTCACTGCACTGCCCTTACCCTACTGTCCGAGCTGCTAGTCTACTGTTGTCATGGCTACCCCTAGTGTCCTCACTTTTGACGCTGAGGGTCGGGCCATTGACTTTGACGTCTGGGTAGATGACCTGCAGCTTTTCCTACAGTGCGATAGGGCAGACGGTCTCTCTCTCTTTGACCTCACCTCTGGTGCCTCTCCTGCCCCTGCTGCTGATGCCGACGCCACTGTTCGCTCACAGTGGGCCACACGCGATGCTGCTGCACGTATTGCTGTGCGTCGCCACCTGCCTACCTCTGAGCGTGCGCACTTTAGTCAGTACAAGAGTGCTCAGACCTTGTACGACGCTGTAGTTGCACGCTACTCCTCCCCCGCCACTGCTGCACTGAGCCGCCTCATGCTCATGCTACCGTACCTCTTCCCTGACCTTGCTGCCTTTCCGACAGTCGCTGAACTCATTACGCACCTCCGCACTAGTGACACTCGCTACCGCGCTGCACTCCCTGCTGAGTTCTGCGCTAAGAGCCCCCCCCCCCCCCCCCCCCCTATGTACATCACCCTCTACTACATAGTCACCCGGCTCCCAAACTCCCTTCGCGTAGTCAGGGACCACTTCCTCTCTGTTTGCCCCACCACTCTCACCGTTGACCTCCTCGAGAAGGCCCTCCTAGCAGCGGAGAAGAGCATAGTAGCTGTAGGAGACTCTCTTGGTGACCCTCGCACCCCCATCTTTGAGGGGTGTTCCCCCTCCCCCCTTTTGCCCTCTGTTGCCTCTGCTGCTGCGTCCGACCTTGTTGGTCTGGAGTTGGTCGGTGCAGCGTCTACCCCTAGCGGGAAGCGCCACCCTGGCAAGGGCAAGGGGGGCAGGGGTGCTGGAGGAGCTAGCGGGGGCGGTGGAGGCGGCGGTGGAGGCGGTGGAGGGGGTGGGGGTGGCGGTGGGGGTGGCGGCGGGGGTGGAGGTGGAGGTGGCGGCAGTGGAGGCGGAGGAGGCGGCGGCGGTGGCGGTGGGAGCGGAGGTAGCGGAGGTGGCGGCGGTGGAGGAGGCGGTGGCGGAGGAGGTGGAGCTGGTCGGGGTGGCGCTGCGCAGAGGGTCGGCTCTGGTAGTGGTCAGCCCCAGCAGCAGCAGTAGCAGCACACTCATGACATCCCCCCCCCCCGACAGCAGCTCCGTGAGTGGTACGTTGCACGCCAGCGGGGTGGGGGGGCTGGTCCGTGCACCTACGTCCTACGCACCGGCGACCGCGCGGGTGAGCAGTGCGGGGGAGCGCACTCCACCCAGCGCTGCTTTGGCCGCCTGACGGACGCTTGGCGTCACCAGTTCCCGGAGGCGACTGAGATCCCCTGTTGGGGTGAGCTGTCTAGGGCGGGAGTAGCTGTCTTTGACCTTGACTTTGATGCTATTCTTCCTGCCATGTATGCTGTGACTATTAGTGATGAGGGTGACTGTTACCGGTGTTTTCCGCCCAACCCGGGCATTGAGACTGCTGCTCTAGGTACTGGTGAGGCTGTTGCTCTAGGTGCTAGCGAGGCTGCTGCTCTAGGTGGAAGTGCGTCTGCGTCCTCAGGTGCTGGTGAGTCTGCTCTCTCAGGTACTGCGTCGGCTTCGGCCTCCCTCACCTTCACCCTTGACTCGGGGGCTTCTCGCTCCTTCTTTCGAGACCGCACCACACTCACGCCGCTTGGTCGGCCAATTGCAGTCTCTCTGGCAGACCCCTCTGGGGGTCCTGTCCTTGCTCACTTCTCCACTGTCCTCCCGTGTCCGGTGGCTCCCTCTGGCACCCTGTCTGGTCTTTACCTCCCCTCATTCTGTACGAACTTGGTGAGTGGTGCTGACCTACAGGATGGGGGAGTTCACCAGTTCACTCCTGCTAGCCAGCGGGTGACCCACTACACGGACGCTCGTACGGGCCGACACGTGGCCACGTTTACACGTCGGCCGAGGTCGAGCCTGTACACACTGACCACTGCGTCTCCTCCTGTCCCTGTGTCTGGTCAGGTAGCTGCGTCGGGTCAGGTGTTTGCTGCGGCGTCCAGGTCTGGTCCTGAGTCTGCCCCCTGCTCGTGTCGCCTCCTGTCTCACCAGACTCTCCTCTGGCACCACCGCCTTGGTCACCCCTCCCTGCTTCGTCTCAGAGGCATGGCCTCCCGTCTCCTTGTTTCTGGTCTTCCCCGGTCCCTCCCTCCCCTTCCTCCGGGGCCTGGCCCTACCTGTGTCCCCTATGTCGAGGGGCGGCAGCGGGCTGCCCCTCACTCCTCCCAGTTTCCTTCGAAAGAGGCCTCGCTGCAGATGCTTCACATGAACGTGTGTGGCCCGGCCCGCGTCTGTGGACAGGGTCACGAGCGCTACTTCCTGCTGGTGGTTGACGACTACTCGCGTTACACCGCAGTCTTCCCCTTGTGCAGCAAGGGTGATGTCACTGCGGTGTTGATCAACTGGATCCGCGCAGCTC